GTGTGTGTGTGTGTGTGTGTGTGTGTGTGTGTGTGTGTGTGTGTGTGTGTGTGTGTGTGTGTGTGTGTGTGTGTGTGTGTGTGTGTGTGTGTGTGTGTGTGTGTGTGTGTGTGTGTGTGTGTGTGTGTGTGTGTGTGTGTGTGTGTGTGTGTGTGTGTGTGTGTGTGTGTGTGTGTGTGTGTGTGTGTGTGTGTGTGTGTGTGTGTGTGTGTGTGTGTGTGGAGTGCACACCGTGTCAATTACTCTTTGGTTCCCTCTTGCCAGCCAGCCCTGCATGTGGCCCTAGGAAGAGATGGCACGACGCCGTGAGAACAGATATCGGTTGTCTTGACCCGCAGCGTTCTCAAGGAGTGGTATGACACACCATAAGTGCAAGGCTGAGCACAGCAAGGCGGTGTCGGAACAGGCGGGGAGCAGGAAACGCTCCATTCGTCCGCATACCTAGCTACCAGCTCAACTTGCACAACACAGTCACAGTGGTACTGTACCTGGGCCGGGGAGGATTTAGATCTCACTGCCTTGCTGCCAGGCACATTGCAGTGCCTGTGCTAGGTACTGCCAAGAGAGGTTTTCAGCTTCACAGTTGTGCCCCAAATTCCTCATAAATCTCGCTTGATGCTAACCTGCGGAGTGTGCTACGTACAATGCTCAACCAACATGCCCCACGTCAGTTGGCTCGTCATACGATGGGACATGTGACTGTTTTACGAGAACGTTCAGGAGAGGACAGGCCAGGTGTGTGTGTGTGTGTGTGCGTGTGTGTGTGCGTGCGTGTGTGTGTGTGTGATGTGGTGTGTGTGTGTGATGTGGTGTGTGTGTGTGTGTGTGTGTGTGTGTGTGTGTGTGTGTGTGTGTGTGTGTGTGTGTGTGTGTGTGTGTGTGTTGTACCGGTATGTGTGTGTGTGTGTATGTGTGTGTGTGTATGTGTGTGTGTGTGCCACACCACACACGCGATGTGGCATCCAGCTTTGGCCTCACGGTCAGCATGACGAAGACTAAGCTACTGGTCGCGGGCTATGGAGTCGCTGCCGCTGATTGTTCCGATCTGGCAGTTGGCAATGAAAGGGTTGAAGCTGTTACCTCCTTCCCCTATCTTGGATCTGTTATAACTCCGGATTCGTGAGCTCATGCCGATGTCCAGAGCCGCCTTGCGAAGGGTGCCAGGGCCTTTGGCTGTCTTCGGCGGATTTTACATGATCAGAGCCTGAACCTGCCTACTCGACGGCATTTGTATGTGGTATGTGTTCTCACCACGGTTTTGTATGGCTCGGAGTGTTGGACCCCATTGAAGTCGGACTTGGACAAGCTGGAGACGCTTGGAGTGGCTTGGGCACCTAGCTCGGCTTGATAACAATCGGTTACCCAAGCAGTTGCTCTTCGCTCGTCTTCCACGAACCCGCCCGTTTTGCGGCCCCCGACATCGCTGGAAGGACGTTGTCCAGGCTGATCTGACTGTGGCCGGTGTGCACAATTGGTTCCAATCAGCCAACGATCGCGGAGAGTGGCGTGACATAGTGTCGGCAGCAGCGGGGGTGAAGGAGCCTGCCCCGAAGACGATTGTGTGCCACGTTTGCGGCCGCCTGTTTCGTCGGCGCGCCGACATGGCCCGGCACAAGTGCACAGCAGTCCGACAGCTCCCCGTATCACAGCAGCCTGGGTCGGTGCAGTGTCCTGCCTGCAGTAGATGGCTCCGGAGCAGGGGTGGGCTTGCAGTGCATAAGTGCCTAGGGAGTGACAACTGTGACGACCGACCGCCTTTTGATGCTCCTCCTGTTGCCGAGGTCCCGGTGTGTACTGCCTGCCAGCGTACTTTCAAGTCTACTGCTGGCCTCAAGCGCCATCGCTGTGGACCCCGCCCGAAGCGCCCTACAGTGACTGATCGCCAGCACTTTGAACACCATTGCCGAGTCTGTAGTCAACGCCAGTTTCGGAGGCGACAGGACCTGGAGCGCCATTTGAAGCACTGCCTACCTCTCCCCTAACCTCTCTGACAGTACCTCCCTTTGGGGAGCGGCGTGGCCATTTCTGGCAGCTGTCAATAGTACCGTAAAGTACCGTTGATCCGCCCCCTCTCTAATTCCCGCCCCCTGTCGATTTTCTCCTTGTGAAGCGACTTCGGCGTATACAACGAAATACGATGTTGAACCGACGCATACACTGCTGTACACAATACTTGCCAATCCAGGATCAAAATGTGCACAATCCAGCACATTGAGACTGATCCTCTACGTTGTTGTACATCGTACTGCACTTGACAGCCTTGATCTAATTCCCGCCCCCTGCCGAAAACCCAGCTGGGAAGCGACATGGCGTGGGGGCGGATCAACGGTACTTTACGGTAGTAGTAGTAGTATAGTGTGTGTGTGTGTGTGTATGTGTGTGTGTGTGTATGTGTGTGTGTGTGTGTGTGTGTGTGTGTGTGTGTGTGTGTTTGTGCGGTACTTTACGGTAGTAGTAGTAGTATAGTGTGTGTGTGTGTGTGTATGTGTGTGTGTGTGTATGTGTGTGTGTGTGTGTGTGTGTGTGTGTGTGTGTGTGTGTTTGTGTACCGGTATGTGTGTGTGTGTGTGTGTGTAAATTGCGGTCGGCGTTTTAGTAGACCACATGACCTATCCCGTCATCGCCCCTACTGTTCCCAACCTGCTCAACCCCCCATGGGGTCCGCATAGCCAGAATATGGCAGCGCGTCCAAGGTCCAAGGTCCAAGGTGTGTGTGTGTGTGTGTGTGTGTGTGTGTGTGTGTGTGTGTGTGTGTGTGTGTGTGTGTGTGTGTGTGTGTGTGTGTGTGTGTGTGTGTGTGTGTGTGTGTGTGTGTGTGTGTGTGTGTGTGTGTGTGTGTGTGTGTGTGTGTGTGTGTGTGTGTGTGTGTGTGTGTGTGTGTGTGTGTGTGTGTGTGTGTGTGTGTGTGTGTGTGTGTGTGTGTGTGTGTGTGTGTGTGTGTGTGTGTGTGTGTGTGTGTGTGTGTGTGTGTGTGTGTGTGTGTGTGTGTGTGTGTGTGTGTGTGTGTGTGTGTGTGTGTGTGTGTGTGTGTGTGTGTGTGTGTGTGTGTGTGTGTGTGTGTGTGTGTGTGTGTGTGTGTGTGTGTGTGTGTGTGTGTGTGTGTGTGTGTGTGTGTGTGTGTGTGTGTGTGTGTGTGTGTGTGTGTGTGTGTGTGTGTGTGTGTGTGTGTGTGTGTGTGTGTGTGTGTGTGTGTGTGTGTGTGTGTGTGTGTGTGTGTGTGTGTGTGTGTGTGTGTGTGTGTGTGTGTGTGTGTGTGTGTGTGTGTGTGTGTGTGTGTGTGTGTGTGTGTGTGTGTGTGTGTGTGTGTGTGTGTGTGTGTGTGTGTGTGTGTGTGTGTGTGTGTGTGTGTGTGTGTGTGTGTGTGTGTGTGTGTGTGTGTGTGTGTGTGTGTGTGTGTGTGTGTGTGTGTGTGTGTGTGTGTGTGTGTGTGTGTGTGTGTGTGTGTGTGTGTGTGTGTGTGTGTGTGTGTGTGTGTGTGTGTGTGTGTGTGTGTGTGTGTGTGTGTGTGTGTGTGTGTGTGTGTGTGTGTGTGTGTGTGTGTGTGTGTGTGTGTGTGTGTGTGTGTGTGTGTGTGTGTGTGTGTGTGTGTGTGTGTGTGTGTGTGTGTGTGTGTGTGTGTGTGTGTGTGTGTGTGTGTGTGTGTGTGTGTGTGTGTGTGTGTGTGTGTGTGTGTGTGTGTGTGTGTGTGTGTGTGTGTGTGTGTGTGTGTGTGTGTGTGTGTGTGTGTGTGTGTGTGTGTGTGTGTGTGTGTGTGTGTGTGTGTGTGTGTGTGTGTGTGTGTGTGTGTGTGTGTGTGTGTGTGTGTGTGTGTGGTGTGTGTGTGTGCGTGTATGTGTGATGTGATGCGGTGTGGTGTGTGTATGTGTGTGACATCTACGTACCGCGAGAAATTCATTGGCGTCGACAGTATCTCGTCCTTCACCAACATCGGCAAATAGATCATAGAGACGAGACACTGCACTTGGTGGAATTGTAATTTTTCGCTTGCACTCCTCGATGGCTTTCCTACATTGCTCCAAGTTCAGTCCTTTTTTCTGGTTTCGCGGACATTTGTGTCTGAAAATGCCCTCAGCGAAGCTTCGATCATCTTTCGAAAGCCTCTTGATGTCAGCCTTGAACTTGTCGGATGATTCCATTTTACTGGAACCTGTTGGGGCAACAAAGAAATCGAATTTTGGCCTGCCCAATTTTGGCTGGGACACAGGAAAGAGTACTTACGCGGTTCACTTGGAGTGAAACTGCTGCTCGTTTTGCAAACAAAGGAGTTACTACCAGGGAGTATTTACTACTCCCTGTCTACTAGTACTACTACTAGTATCTTCTTCTAAAGTATCTTCTAAAAGTAAAAGCAAACAGATCATGAATCACTGTGAAGGACTACAGTTCCGGCATGCCATGATGTATCATCATACAGACAGTACACATGTCTGTCTTGTCTTGTCTTGCAAAGCTTTGTCTTCGATTTTCAAAGCTTCATTGGCTCTGACCGATCGATCCCGACTCCAGAGCTACGAGAGGAGTCATAAAAATACCGTAATCTTCGACGCCCTGGTACGGTTGGCATATCGAGGAACGGCGTGCAAGGATTCTTTCCGGATATCCGGATCGTGACTCGCACACACACACCGTACCGGGTACACGACCAAGGAGTACTTTTTTAGTACTCCCTTTTTCTGTGACGGTATCGGTACGGACCCGGCCTGTGCCAGTGGGAGTGGTCTTCCGTGCGCAAAGACGAAGACATCGCTGTCACCGGTTGATTATGAGAGCAAAGGGGGGGGGGGGGGGGGGTTCGCGACGCTGTGTGTCTGCGGTTGCCTCCCCGACTCCCTACATCCTGGCCTGTCAGTACAGTGCATGCGGGAAGGAATTCTCTGTCACTGATCATGCCCTGCGTGTTCCCTGGGGCAATTGGGGGGCTTCCCAACCCTCCCCAATGAGATCTGGGACACAACCGCCAGCGCACTGAAGCAAGTAGCCCACCAAGTTTATGTGGAGCTTCTATTCAGGCTTGGCTGCTGACAGGGGCCGGAACAGCTACAGTACAGGTCTGCCAACACCAATGACCAAGCCCGACTAGTGTGGCAGCAACTTAGCAAGCGCCGTTTGGGGTGGGCGATTCGAGTGCACCTTCGTTGATGTTCGGGTGTTCAACCCAGGCCCCAGGGAGTAGTACTCGTGCTACTCCCTGGTTCAACCCATATGCGTCAGATTACATCCTCGAATCGCTCCAACTCGTACGACTTCGACGATGATTACATAACCTATTAACAACGAGTACTGTAAACTGGCTAATATCCTCCACGGATTAATGTTTGCTATTTTCGCGAGAAGAGCGTAACGCGAATATTAACCATCCTGAACTCTAACTTCAACAGTGGGTGGATGCATTAAAGTGGCCCCAGTGTTTCACGAACTTTTGCCATCGCAAACTCGCTGGTTCTAAGAAATCGCGAAAATTTAGTGACACGAATATTGGGCGGTTTACAGTATTATTATAATCCCGCTATCATGGTTATGTACGTATACGCTTGATAGGAAAGGTGTTTTCCCCCCACACCGGAGCCTGAGTAGCTGACTCGCACTGCTATCTGGTGCTCACGGGGTGTTTGTCGCGCTGGAAACGGATATTATCATAGGTTTTGGGAACCATGAACGGTATTTCCAAGACCAACTCCTATTCACGGCACTTGGGAAGCTCTTCTGCTGTTCATGTGAGATACACTTTCCACTGTAGTGTACCATGGCTCAGAAGGGAAAGCACATTGATGGTACATGCATGTACATTATACATTGTATTGTATCACTATACCGCCGGGGATAGCCAAACCACATATTTCAACAGGAGCAAGACTATCATGATACTGTACTAATGAATATACATGTACAGTCATGTATGTACTGAATACTACCAAGAGTGCACAGTAACCCCCTGGGGGGGGGGGGGGGTATGTACTCTTGGTAGTACTGATACATCATTTTAAAACATGTACACTGGCAATTGCTATAGAAACCAGGGAGTACTAAAAACAGTCATGTTTGAGCATTTTGATTTTCGAGTTATCCGCACCACTCCATTCCTCCTTTATTCCCAATCGAACTCGCGCACTTCCACCGAAACTGGGTGACTGCGCCCTACTATAATTATGGGGATTTGTATGCAAAAAGTCACTAAAAGCGCCATTTCGTTCTTACACAAGCACGGATGACCGCGATTGGCCCATATGTCCGCGATTGCCCAAGTCACCTGGTCACCGCGCCAGCAAGCGACAACTTTCACACCAAGGTTCAACTCAAGTGACAGGAGTGCGCCCAAAAAAGGTCAAACAGACTGTAAGTTGTACCCTGCAGGCGCTAGGCTAGGCACGGTGATCAGGTGACTGGTGTACGCAGGAGCACGTGACAGCTTGTTCAACCATGTTCGATTGGGAATAAAGGAGGAACGCTGCATCGCAGCATTCTCGGACCAAAACCAGTTGACTCAGCGTCCAAAAGACAACATATGGGCCAATCGCGGTCACCCGTGCTTTTATAAGAACGAAATGGCACGTTTAGTGACATTTTGCATACAAATCCCCATCTAGTAGGGAGCAGTCACCCAGTTTCGGTGGAAGTGCGCGAGTTCGATTGGGAATAAAGGAGCAATGGAGCGTCTCAGCTTCCTCGGACCAAGACCATTCGACTCAGCACCCCGAAGACTACAACTGGTGAAAATTTGATTAACTTCCCCTATGGTAAACTCAATTTTCAAATGCATTTTTCTCAACACTGCACAAAGCTACAGAAGCCTCCCTTTCGGCTCAATTATGCCGAGAGCAACAAGAATCCGAACAATCACGGTCCAGTACTGGATAATTACATGGCAATGTCATAGCAATTTCGAAGGCTTAGCCTTCGACAAGATTGGCTACCCAGGTGTCCGCATACTCTCTGTGGAGCCGGACAAGATTAGTTAGCATCCCCCGTGCTCCATGATAACAAGGATCACATCATCCTCCTCAAATCCCATTTGCGGAGAAAGCTAGAGATCTGCATGGAATTACTCCCATGTCAGTCTACACAACACCTCTACCATTGTGTCAGTCCACACAACACCTCTACCATTGTGTCAGTCCACACAACACCTCTACCATTGTGAATGCGCTAAAGAACAACTGCTGGATAAAACAAAATTTGTGACCGTCTTATGAGCAATTAGCAATAGCATGAAGTATGTATTAGTGGAGAAAAAGTGCGAACAGATAGCAATAAGGTGTCAAACCATCGTGTACAATCGTAGTGCATGGTACTCGGGAGAAGGGAAAATAGTTCAAAATACACACGAACACACGCATGCATGCATGCATGCATGCATGCGTGTGCACACACACACACACACACACACACACAATAGTCATAATACGAGTACCATGGACCAGCCATGGTTTACAGAAATCACACGACAAGTAGATAAGTATCAAAATACTACCCATAATCCTTTCAGGCATGCAGGACATACTAACTTATATTCAACATCAAAGCAAGCAACCGTCTAAACGATTTGAAGACGGCTCGGCGATAACTTTGGCAAGAGATTATGGAGATCCCAATATGGTCACAGCAAGCAGTTTGTACAGCATAAAAAGCCTAGTAGAAACAAATTTCAAGTACTATACACAGCCCAAAAAAATATGTCCAAAGAAGGGGAATGAATATAAAAGTTAGATGGAGTATCAACACTTTCGAAGTAGTTCTATATGAACATACCTGAAGGATATTGACAGCAGACATGGAGATGGTAGTGGTGGTTACTCGGCCGACCTGGTGATCTTTTCACGTTGATGACTGTGTGCTCCGGGTAATGTTCAAAACTCCTTGTGCGCTAACACACACACACAAAGGGAGGTGAAAGAAACCAACATACTGTGACCCCAACCCTTTCAGTAGCTAACCCTGTAACGGCGATTCCAAGTTTCGTACAAGGAAACCCCCCCCCCCCATAGTACACGCTCTGTAGGTCTAAAGCTGTGTTCCCAACTGGCGCGTGGACGCGGTACGCTTGCGGTTCATGCGTGCCCAAACGGCCGCTCAGGCTTTCACCAAAAAGAGCAATCCGAGTCGTATTTAGCGCGTGCGACACCTTCGAGTACTAATGTTTTGACCCCGCCAGTCAAAGTGACTGGCATGTACGCTGATACGCGCCTGATACGCGCTGAAAATTCCAACATGTTGGAATTTCCATTTCGGTGCGTTTCCGTATGCATGACGCCCCAAAAGCCAGCACAAATACGCACAAACGCGTGGTTTCACGCGTACACGCGCCAGTTGTGAACACAGCTTAAGTGCTGAAAAATGGTGACAATACCACATAAAACATAGTCTCGCTTACTACAAAATGCAGGCTCCCACGTGCCGACGCACTGCATCAAAGTAACGAAGTGTAAGTACCGGCATGTGCACGTGTTTTGCAGAACGCCCTGATGGAAGACTACCTGGAATACCTGCACAAGGCTAACTTGTACTTGACTGATACGCATTTTACTAGATTTATTGATATTGGCATACAACTCCCAAGTCATACTACCGTACTGCACGCACCATAATACCACATGAACCATTCTACAGTTCAATGGACTCCTGTAGTACCGTTGTGTCATACTAAAAAACAATCCGTGCAGAGTCATGAGGCTAAGTGGGCACTCTACAAAGCAATGGACACTCTCCTGAATCATAATTATATCCAACGGTACAAGATGTAGCGTGATACTGCAGTGCAGTCTACCAAAGTAGTAACGGGCCAATAGTGTGCTTACCTTCTGGATACAGTGTCCGCTCTGAGCAAAATAAACACACATACACGCACACGCACACACACACACACACACGCACGCACACAGCAGCAGCAGCAGCAACCACATCTCTTATCAGTCAACATGCCAATGTGAGGATACTTTCAAACTGAAGTGGAAACAGTTCCGAAAAACATGGTCTACAATTTCGAAAAAAAGGGCTTGAAAGTGATGGTGCATGTCATGCGCGAGCAGCCGTGCATGCTGCCTACTCCACGAGGTATTCATTCATGGTTCGTTCGAAAAAGCAGAGAACACTTTCAAGGCCCGTCCAAGTAGACCGAGGTGCCCGGAACTTGGAGGTCCGGATAATAGAGATATGAGTGGATACTGGATAAGCACGGTCCCTAAGGGCCGATTTCCACTACCGTACCGTGAGAGCCGTGCCGTGAGTACCCATGGTGATTTGCTCACGTGGGGGGCAGTTTTGGCGCGAGTTCATTCCGTGGCTCCTGCCGTACCGCGCCGTGGACATTCCGGTGCCGGGGGCCTCTGCACGGCTGTTCAGATTCCGAAAAAGCTACGTTATCCGCGCCTTTGCGGCTGGCGCAGCTGGGTTGCTCAAGAAAATTCAAAAATTCAAAATTGAATTGCATCGAAATTACCTTGAATACATGGCTTCTTCGATGGATATACGACAAACCAAGCCTGACTTCCAGGTGAACTCAGGTTTATAAAACTCCTTGAATGCAGTCTTCTTCATGTCCAAAATTTCGAAGCTTTCTTCCTGATGAAAGTGCTTTTTTCCTCCACGAACCTTTCCTTCTTAGTCTTCCTTTTCATAGCATGGTGCCTATTCCTGGGGATACTTTCAGCTAGCTTCTTGCTCAGGTAAGGTTTTCTAGCGTCTTTTCCAAGTTTTCCCTGGTGCATGATCATATTACCTCTGCAACCCAATTGAGCTTTTTTCGTCGAGGGCCACTCATTCTCGTCGAGGGTCCCTCGTTGTCAGCCCCCATGGCAACCCACAATTCAGTTCTAGAGTCTCTGTGCAGGGTGTGTGGGTTCTTTATACCACCCTTTCGGAAATACAAGAAGACAAGGACAACTACACATGAAGTGGCTGATCACGCAGATGAGCTCCTGCATTATTTCAACATCAACACAACAACATACACGCCAGACGTACATCCTGCAACATTTTGTGATTCATGCAGATCGTACTTGAGAAGGGCATCCTCCTCTTCTTCTAGTGACTTTAGAACACCAACTCTCTATCTGTGGCAGCCACATGGCAGTACCACTCCTGGCCCTTGTAAAGTGTGCTCAGGTGCTGAGGGTAGGAGAAAAGGTGGTAGGCCCAAGAAACCGTCGACGTCATGCTCAACGGCGTCTAGGGCTAATCCCACCCACTGCAGTCGAGACGCACTTCTGGAGCTTGCTTCCCCGGCCTTCTTTGCAAGGAATGAGGCACCTGTCTTTTGATCACCCTCCCCCTCTCTTTCCTGCTGTGTCTGTTCGCGGCAAGTGAATGCAGCCGTGCAGCACCCATGTTGCGAGCGTCTGTCGTGCGTGTCGTGTATGCATGAACTATTCCAAGATGTATTTGAGGTAGAGTGCATGTCACATGATTGCAAAGCAAAGCTGCGGGCAGCTCAGCTAAAATCTCCTACTTCCTTTATCTCGTCTATTCTTGCTGAGCGTCGAGTTCAATGCAGCAAGTGCCTCGACGGTGTTCAGCTCGGCAAACTTGCGTCACACGAAACTGCATGCACAGGGCACACATGCATTTCCAAATTGTCTTCGGTAAACCAAGTGATGCATGCAACATCTTCTGCACTTTCTGGCAATGTGGCTGAGGATCTTCTTTCTTGCATGATAAACAAAAAAGCAACCAATGGCGTGCTGTTACAGAAATCAGGGCACACGGCACATGACATGGAGCAAGATTCCAGTTGCTAATGTGTCTTCGGCTGACGCTTCCGAAAAAAAACTCTTCGGCAACGCGAGGCGACAATTAAGCAATTGAAGGAAGCCATTTCAGGTGGAACAGCTGAAAGTGTTTTTGCGCAAGATGCACACAGCTTGAAGGTAAGATCCAAAGACGAGAAAAATGAATTGCTAGAGGAAGCTGGATGTGCACCAAAAACATTGCCGGATGATGTAGGGCTGGCTATCAAGGCCGATTTACAGCTCCCTTGGAGTGGCCTGCGCAAATTGACGCGGTACATGAAAAGGGCAGGGGTACCGATCGAGTCAGAACATCGGATGCGAGACAAGATCAAAGCATCCCTGCCCTTTGATTTGGAGTGCAGGGAGGAGTTGCTGGTAGACAAATCTGGTACACTCAAGATGTGCCCAGTGGCATCGTTTGCTGACCTGAAAGGAATTATTTTGCATTACATACACCTTAATGAGGATGCACGCACACTAACATGGCGTGATGGCGCCATCCCTGCAGACGAGGTGTGGGTAAAGATTGGAGGTGATTTTGGAGATGAGTCATTTAAATTCTGTTTCCAAATCGCGAATGTCGTGCATCCGAATTCCACTGATAACACTGTGCCTTTTTTGATTTTTAAAGCCAAGGATAATGCGAGTAACCTTGACACCTTGCTCAAGGCTTACCATTCACAAATCAAAGAACTTGCATCTGGAAAAGTGACATGGAACACATGGAAGGGCAGGGTAGTAAAACTATTAAATTTCTCTTTGGTGACTATGAGTTTATGTGCAAAGTGTATGGCATCTCTGGTGCTAGTGGTGTTAGGTCTTGTCTTTTTTGCCTTGCCACGAAAACTGACATGCAAACGGCAGACTCATCTTTACAGCAACGACGTACACTTGAGCAACTTGCAGGAGACAACGCCCGCTTCCAAGAAGCTGGCAGTATCTTGGCACAAGCCAAGAATTTTCACAATGTGACCGGCCGGCCATTGTCCCGATTCCGATCGATAAGATCTGCATTCCAGTCTTGCACCTAGATCTGGGGATCTATCCTTGGATATACGAAGCAATGCTTCGCGATGCAGAAGCCCTTGACTTTTTACCGGCCCTCTCTAGCTCTGGCACTGACGTACAGTCCAGCGAGTCTTACGCAGCTGTAGCAACACAGCAGAAACAACTGCATACCTTGCAGCAACAGCATTCTGCACTCTTGGAGCAGGCTCAAACTGCCCAAAGCCAGCTGCATAGGATATTGGCACAAATTCAGGCTGCTGAAGAATATTCTTTGAAGCACACACAATTATCAGCTGCTTCAGGTATGCTCCACCAACTTTGGCTGCATGCACAAGACACCATCAACACTCTGCTGCCACAGATGGAGGAACTTGATGGCGAACTGAAAGCCATGAAAGTGCGCAAGGGGCCATGCCACGAATCTTTCGAGCCTGTGCTTAAAAAAAAACACAGAATAGACAGACAAGCATATCACTCCGGGGCTTTCGTGGGAAACCACATTCATAAAGCACCGCAGCCAGCCACACGCAAGGAAATATCCAGTGCTCCTCTACAGACAATGACAAACATCTTCAACACTGACAACTCACCTGACATCCAGTACACACCACAACAACAAGACCTGCTGGATAGAGCATCAGCACTCCGAGACAAGTACGACAGACTCTTCACGCAATACAAAGATTGTAGGGCAATCTTCGCAGTGTGCGATAAGATCACTCCTGACAAGCTGCACCAACTCTCTACGAACATTAAACTCTTCATGGCAACACTAAGGAAGACAGTCCACGACCAGAACAAGACTATAACGCCCAAAATGCACATGCTGGAGGTGCATACCGTGGACTGCACCAGCCAGTTGGTGTATCCCTTGGACTGATGGGCGAACAAGGTGGTGAGTCCATCCACAAGTGCTTCAAGCACCTGAGAACATCCATCAGCAATGTGAACAGGGACGTGGACCGGCTCCGGGTACACTTCTGGCAATATTTGAACAGCACGCTGCCAAGATACAACGCCATGAGGCTCCAGCCTGCAAAGCGGAAGCACTCCGACAAGTCAGCTAGTTGAACACTGACAGTTGCTGTAAATGAGTCTGCCGTTTGCATGTCAGAATCCAAAAAAGCTGATGACAATAATAATTATTATAATAGCAGTAAGGATGCAGGAAACTTTGAAAGGACATTGAAACGCGTCGCCAAAGGATGGCGGGTGGTGGTGGGGAAAGGTAAGTCAGAGTAGTTACATTTACTAGTACTGGACTCTTCCACACTCCGAACTTCCCAAGTCAACAATCAATATACCGAGTTTCGAGCAGGACATAGAATTCCTGTATGCAAAGTAATAATAATTAGTTGTAAAAACAAGCTGATCCCGCACAAGATCAGCATAATTTTATGAAATGCATCCAAAGCATTTTTGTTCTTACAAAAAATCACCAAGTGCACCCACTCGCCATTTTGGTTACCGTAGATACAGTGGTCACGTGTACAGTGACACTTTTCGGCAAAAAGATCGGCCATGTTCAATACTTTCCAGCATGGAACAGCCGTGTGTGTGTGGGGGGGGGGGTGGGGGGTGGAAATGGCACGCCGTGGTATTCCGTGAGGTCGAATGAAGTGAGTAGGAGGTATTTTACTACTCCATGAAAGGAAGTTTTTTCTTTCTTTTTTATTTGTGGTACGAAGTTTTTTCTTGGCTTTTGGCTTTTCGATTGGTTGATTTTTAAGCTTTCTCCAGTCATCTCCCCGCTATTTTTCCTCAAGACCAAAGTCAGAAATTGTTAGAAATGGTGATCCGGCCTGCCGACGGAATGCACGGAATGACTGTGCGCAGGTGTAAATTACTTTCAGCTTCGAGCTCGTACCGTGGGGTACACGTGACCTACCCAAATCGTTGGCACGGCACTCACGGTACCGTAGTGGAAATCGGCCCTAAAGGCCGATTCACAATACAACTTTCTGCGACGCGACACGCGATTTGCGACAGTTGCGACAAGAAACTGCCTGTCGCAAGCTGTCGCGTACAGTCGCAAGGCACCTGTTGCAGAAGTTGAAGAAAGTTCAACTTTTGCGACATGCAACATACACAAATGGAGTACAATTTCTACTCTGGGTGCACGTGCAGTGCACGTGCATAGTACATGTACTACTAGTGCATAAGGCCGTCGCAAACATGAAAAAGATTGTGAACCGTGTGTCGCTGCCGCAGCTCGTCACAAGTGTCGCAAGTCGCATGTCGCGTCGCAAGAAGTTGTATTGTGAATCGGCCGTAATAACTTACTAATAAGGTGTACAGTATATGTATTGTATTCAAATTCGTGATGCTATAACTGCCAAGGGTCAGCCATGCCTCTTTTGACAAGATTACAAAAGCCTTACTGTTCATGCATCTGCGACACCATCGTCAACATCTGTTTCAGATTCTGTAAACACACATACAGTGCATGTAATTCAGTGATGTAGCCGTTATGCACACACCCCAACTGCGAGGCAAAATACGCAGATACAAATACAAAAGTGCGGAGCTTCAATTTCTGTCATAGTTCAGCCCCCCCCCCCCCCCCCCAATGACATTGTGCTTAGTACATGCACAGCGTTCTATTGCCTCTTGATCAGCACAAGCTTATGCACGGTGGCATGCAGTAAGCAACACATCACAAGTTGCGTACCTGTTTGATCTTAGCTATTGTTTAAAGTTGTGCCCAGCGTAGTCCGCTCAAAGGAACATGAAGGCACGTGCGTATAGTGTATCTATCAGCACTACCAGCCCCACTGTTCATTTCAATAGTCAAGTCACAGTGGGGTCCAGCATGCCAGTGCGACTCACTGCCATTACATTGTCTCACTGGCCACTTTCTCTAGTCAGATTTGAAAACAATCGAGTTGGAAAACAATATCTCCTGGAGCCAGCAGTCTTGGAGTTCCTCTGCGTTCGTGTTGGCAAATACCGATACATGCATATACTTAGAATGTAAGCACAGGTCAGGTACATGTACTGGTACGAGTATGTGAGCCTTGCATAGACTAACAAGTTGGGCAATTGACAGCATGTTACAAGCCGCAGGATGCACGGTGTTGAAACAGTTGTAGTCAGGAGCACTGTTTTGGCGTTTTCCGCCTTGCAAAATGCTGCCAATCGTCCAACAGGTAGAGGAACCGCACTAGAAAAAGCCGTACCTCGTGTGTATCTTGTAAGCCCATGTCGTTGCCGGCAAATTCCCGTGCACAGCGCATCAGCACCTTTCCATGGAATGCAAAGCACAATCCATGTAGGCACACGCAAGCAAGCACGCACGCACGCATGCACACACATACAAACAACAAAACACAGATACATGCACAATGAGACAAGCCAGTCCACCAAGGGACAAGATACAAACACATTACTTTGACAAGCTTTGCCAGCACTCGACACTCAACTTCTTGGATCTAACCAAGAAATCCCGTGCAAAGCTCTAAGGTGCCATTCTTCACAGTCCATATGAGGAGGAACTGGCCACGAATGATAGTCCTACAACAGTACTGTTGGGCGCCGAAGAACTGGGGGTCAGGCTTCTAGCCTAGCCCGTTCTTATTTTTAGCGAACACAGCAGTTTCGTTCTTATTCGATGTGCAGTCTTACATGACACATTTATGCAGAGTTATATGTCTGAGTGTACATTATAGTGTACATTACGGTTTCCGTTATCATGTTATTATCTTTTAAAAAAATCCAGCCTACACCGTTCTTAAACATTGGTCAAATTCTAGCCTGGCCGTTCTTCGGCGCCCGACAGTACTGTAAGGGGGTCCGGAATCGTCCGATACTACCTAGCAGAAGGTCTGTGCTTTGGAAGAGTCATGGACGACCATCAAGTTATTAATTTTCTTGTGAGAGCAGCTGAGGAGACAGCTGGATTTGTTCCTCCTGGTGGCCGAGACAACCATAGTGATGATATTGCGAAGCTGTCTAAACTCTAAACAGCAGTGGGGCCTTTCTCTCCAAATCTCTCCAAATCTCTATTACATCAGATCCGGACTGTAAAGCAGAATTGATATTGTATTCAGGTACCAAGTGAGGAGTAATTTTGACGCATCTTGCACTTTCATCTGTAAAAAGTAGTAGGGTAGACACACCCATTCCCAAAGCACTGCAAAGGATGATTGTTTCATTCGTACCTGACGATTGCTATATCGCCGAAACGCTGTACGTTAAGAATTGGTTCGGTCCTTTGCAGTGCTTTGGGAACGGGTGATCCGGCCACCCAACTACTTTCTACATTCAGGTACCAATACAAAATACATAATCCCTGTGTAGTATGGGTACTTCATCACACGTAATGAGTAACAATCCTTAACTTTGTGCCTTGAGGATATGAGTGTTAAACATGCACCTTTTCTATTACTACAGTATAGCATCAGAAAGTAGTTGAAATCCTCGACCATAAGATCGCTAACCTCACTGGTTCCAGAAGACTTGCAAAGATGTTTCACCAGTTTGCCAACTTCATTTATCTCCTGCTCGACAGCGTTGGTGAGGCGCTCCTTGGTTTCCCGACTATACCCCTTATCTTCAGTCATCTCCACGATAGTTGATTGATACAGAACTAATCACTTGAACACGATGGAAAGCTTGGCTGTGGAAGGAGTAGTTATGTCATACTAGGCCAGTTGCTGGTACAACGACAAAATCAACCCATACTGGCCAACGTGGAATACCTTTTGCAGCAATCTGATTTGCAACCAATTATTATAATACAACAGTCGACTGTGCATGTACATGTACTGGGTGATGATGTAACACAGACATCGAAGTCTTGTCTTTGATTCGAATTATTTTGCCAAGCATTTTTTTCACGTGGCTCTCATCCAGGGAGTCGTCAAATACCGGTATTTGACGACTCCCTGCTCTCATCTGTACTGCTGTGATTACGTAACACGATGGGCATGACGTTTTTGGTGTATTTTCAAAACCTATTTTTGTCGAGAACAGCTGCTTTCACTTTCAGACTTTCTTTTCTGTTTACATGTAGTTGTTCCAGGGCCTAGGGCTTGACTACAAGTTAGTTGTAGGCTGTGTTGTGGGTCTTGAATCACTCTTGATTATCGTAAACAATTTGGCCCCGGCAACTAAATCACAAGTAATTCGTTGTTGCTTCAGCTCTTTACCCACAACACATCGAGGAATTCTTATTCTTGTCTACTCTACTAAGATTAGCAGCACTGGGAGTAGACGACCCCTTTGGTAGATATTCCTGACCTGAAATCGAACAGCATAGCAATGAGAATATTTCCATCAGCCGGAATAGATGCCTGGAAATTTGGAATGATAGCTGTTATGCTCAGCTGTTTTGACGTCGGTTACAACGGGAGACCAAGGCTTTTTGATTGGTTAACCAGTAACCAATACAATCCTGCTTACAAACCCAACATTGGGCTGTATACGGGGAAAGCTGATGCCAAGAAGGACAGTGAAGTGTCAAGTGCACCGACTCAGTGGCCATATCCCCCGCCGGACAAGGAGTAGTATGGAAGTGATCCCTGTGCCGCAGCGTGGATGAAGAATAGTTTGGCTGATGAATCCGCTCAATGGCCTGACATGTGAGCAACAGTGCAGCAAGGGCTGAGGAATGCGAACGTGTCCTGCACACACTTGTTCGTCACCGTGCGTGTCCGGTCTATGACCGATATTATCTTCAGGCCTGGAGCATTGTGACAATGTCTTAAGATATCTACAGGGATCCACTGAGGATGGTATCCCCGGAGCAGGTGCAGCAGCCTACAAGTAGTTAGCAACCAAGATCATCATGGTCAATTGGCCAGTGAGGTAGACCTGTCTGTAATCAAGGGCACTGGAACGTCATTGTCTTGGAGAAAGTACACAGTCTGCATGGCTGTACATGTTGTACAAGCAAGAAGAAGAAGACGTGCACATAATAAACGTAGATTGAGTAATTGCATTACTATAAAATAATAATAGGAAAACACAGGGCTAAAAAAACTATTCAAGTTGTACAAGTACGAGTATGGTTGATCTTTGGATTGCAGGAACATTGTTTTAGTGATTTCTATTTTTAAATCTTGAGCTTTGACGATGCAATCATAATATAAACCCAATAAATCTTCTTTATTTCTTCACTTGGACTAGTACAGCATGGTGAATACAGGATCAGATCATGCCATGATAACTTCATGCAGTTGTACAATAGCTGGTACAGGCCAATTAAGCTTTAACCCAGGCGCGGTTTGAAGAGGGGTGCCGAAAGGTACAAGTGCGACGCGTGCAATTTATCCCAAAGCGGCACATATCGGATGTTGGGTGCGTATAGGGGCAGTCCAGCCGAGAGCAGTTGACGCCATACTTGCAAGTCGCTGCCGTCGGCCTTGGATTAGCAACTGTGTGGTTGTAGGGACAGGATTTATCATGGCACTGGCTTGCAGCGGGACAGTCTGGGTGAACAAAGCTGCAAGCCCGACCGTAAGGGCAGTTTGGAAAACTTCGGCACTTCACGACCAATGCCCCGGTGCCGTCAGATTTGCCTGAAGTATGCGAAACGGATTTCTTTCCTGGCGGTGCACCGGACGTAGGCGCTGCTGGCCTTTTCTGCGGAGCAATGACTACAGAGAGCGGCCTACTAGATGGCTTGGGCTTTGTGCTACTTGCTACGCTTTTCACGCCAGTCTGTGCTGTCACTTTCTTCACAGCGATGGGTGCTGACTTCTTTGCAGGAACACGAGAATTACTTCCCGCGTGGTCCGCATCATCATCAGAGTCCAATGAAAGACTCATTCCGCCGTCACTGTCACTACTGGTGTAGCTACTACCGCTGCTGCTACTTCCACTGCTGCCGTCGCTGCTGTATGATGAGCCTAGGCTTGATGACGAACGAGATGAAGATATAGAATAGTTTGACGGCGAGTCCGATGGAGAATCCTGGACATTAACAACAGGCTGCTGTGCTTCAGCACGCACAAGTAACGGAGTAGTCGCGTCACTGCCCCTGGAGATCGAAGGGGGCTTGGCTTGTTTTCGCAACACAGGAACAGTGATGACCATGTCATAATTCCCAGAACTACTACTGCCAGCGCTAACAGCACCTCTACCACTTGCATGTGCGAGGTGCATATCGGCCGCTGCAGACTGGTTGGTAGGAACTGTGCACTTCAAGCCTGTAGCACCGGTGGAGTTGCTACTTTGCTTCAGGGAATCTTGGTTGACAGTCACTACGAGTGCGGCAGCGGGACTGGGTTGCGGGAGATCAGACGGCTGAGGCTGCTTCTTGCCATTTAAAGTGACAACGAATTGTGTCTTCCGGGGAACGCTAGCTGCTGGTTTATCCTCAATAACAATGGCACTGTTACGTGTATGCTGGCTTGTGCCTTGCCCGTTGTTGTTTGCTACGTGCTGCTTGCCGCTCATTGTCACCTTAAACTGCACAGGGTTTGCTGATCCGTGTGCACTGTGGGTCTCAGCTGGACTTGTATGAGACTTTTCAGCAGCAATGACCTGCTTCTGCCGATGCTTGCGGGTTGTCAGGGTAAGCACGGATTTCTCAACCGCATTTCCACTTGACTGACTTTCATCCTTACTAATGGCGGGTATTTCCTTGGGCTCTGATAATGCCTTCTCACTGTCTTTGTTTGCACCATCCATTGCCCTAGTTAAAAGGCGCAAGGCAGACGTAGGGCCTGTTCCTCGTTTGCTTGCAGCTGCGGTACTAGTAGTGGACTTCGCCACAGGCTTTTCAGCACTGCTCCTAGCCGGCTGTGCTGATACATGCTTTCTAGACACAACACTGACAACACTGGATGGGGTTACAACGCCTACAGATGATGGCGAAGCCGCTGACCTCACTAACGCACCCTTGGCTTGGACAGCAAGCGTTGCCTTAGACTTAGAGTTTGCAGCTGCAGGGCTAGTGGGCGGCTTATGCTTTTTAGAGGACGACCCCGACCCTCTTGCTTCGTTGACACTCTTTCTCTTCCCGTCCTCCTTGCTCACTTGCTGTTGGAGCCAATCCACAAATGACTGCGAATGTTCAGCCAGAAAGAGAGAAAGGTCATTGACCATAGCCGAGGGTGGCTTTTCATTTTCCACCATCGTCAAGATGTATTCTGGCAATTCCTCGTCTATGAAACAATTGATGCTCTTTAGCTTATTCGACACCAGACGGTGCAACTTCTCCGCATCCATATCGAAAAGATAGGGAAAGGCTTTCTATCTAAAATGCTTGAAAGGATTTAGGTATCTCAACTACTAGTCGACTCCGAACACGCCGTGAGTAACTTATATTACGTGACAAAAATGTGGAAATACACTCCATCTAGAGTCAACAAGTCAGGGTGCACAGCAGTCGCGTTCTTCTTCACTAACTCAATAATGTTTCGAACAACAACCAACTGTAACTTTATTTTAATGTTCTTGAGTTTCGAAACAACACGTACGTACGTACGTACACATGATACAAAAATTATTTGTCTGCAGTAAAAAAACTTTTTTGGCACTCGTGATCGTGGTTGTGTTGTACTACACTCAGTCTACAGTAACTACACAAAGCCATGCGAGTCGTACCTACACAGTACTGCTGGCTGAACGCTTATTTATTGCCATCACACCTGCACGGGGTGTACACTTGCCTGCAGGTACATCTCTTGGTACTTTGTCTTTTGACAGTTGAAACATACAATTACAAATCCACTTGACACGAATAGCCCCCCCCCCCACCAGTGACAAAATACTAGTACACACACATGCATGCTACAGTGCACGCACGCACGCGCACACACACACCACACACACATGTGCACACACAGACACACTCACGTGCGCTCACACCACACACAAAGACACACAGTCACTTCCGGGAGGCCAAACTGAATGAGCATGAAGGTGCCATGGCCATGTACAGTGCTGCTATGTACTCTTGATGATACTGCGGGTTCATATGCCCCCCCCCCCCCCCAACAAAGCATTTTAGAATCAGCTCAAAGCGTCAAAGTTAGAAATTTGGTGGTCTAAACAGCCAGGCATATGGCTGCAACTGAAATTTCCAAGTCAACTAGTTTGTCCTGGAATATTCTGAAATAGGTGCACTGCAGTTTACTTTACAGTGTATTGGACATGATTCAAATAAGACTGCATGGAACCGTGTCTACATGGTCGGCACTAGCAACTTGTCCGACACTGGTGCCGGTAAAGCAATAATGGAATTGATTAAAGGGAGCTGTATTGCAGAAAATAAAATGGATACACTAGAAAACAAAATTTTACTTGTAAGCAAAAACTAGAGAGAATAAACCGGGGAATATGAATATAGTGCAGAAAGAAAATTTACACAGGCGATAAAGTACTGTACAAAGATGACCTAGGACAGCCTACATGTATGTGTTAAAAAAACAAAGTTGTTAGTCACATCACAAAACACTGTCATAAGTAAAGTCAAAGGTTTTCTGCCCATTCTCAGTGGAATAAAATGCTTGTTTCCAATCACAAGTACATGTAGTAACACTAAGACATTTCAGCCATCTGTTTCTGCAGCTCTTCCAGTGAAATGTCCCCGGTGTCCACAACTGGAGCATCATCACTGGGTTTCGCATCAGTGGTGTACGCATATTTCAGACCCGATGCTACTTCGACACTGGTCGTCTCTGCCGGTGCGCCGCTGTCGTCGACCACCTCAATTCCCCACTCGTTGGTCTCGTGAACAATCTCTGCTTCTGCAGCCGTGTCCTCCGCCGCTGTTTCCTTGGGCCGACTAGCTAGTTCCTTTTGATGACGCTCTTGATGCCGCCGACAGCTAGAGTCACTGCAGCTCGGGTTGGCCTTCAACTCCATCGTGGGAAAGAAGTCCTTGAGTGCACTATAACCAAGAAACGTTGAGACCACACCGAATTTCAACAGAAGCTTCAGAACACTTTGCACGAGAATGCCAGCAACGATTCCCATGGTCGTGGGCAGCGACGCAGCGCACACGCCTTCCCTCTTCAGTGACTTCTCGTCAATGCCATCGGCAACAAGTAGCGGCGGAGCACAGGCGAAGCATGCAGTCTCACCAGGACGAACCAATTGTATGTGGCCCGACACAGCATTCTCACTGACGCCTGACTCGATCCATGTCTGACCAAGCTCATTGCATGCGGTATTGATAGCCATGCGTGCCTCAAAATTGTCAACACAACTCAGAACAAGATCGACTGGTCCCGAAGTCTTGGAGCCCGCTTTCAGGCGACTCATGAAGTGGTCAAAATTGTCGACAGTTGTGATATTGTAATTATGCGTTTCAATGTCCACATCCGGATTGATTTGCTTCAGGCTAGCTGCTGCTGCCTCGACTTTGCTCAGGCCACATTGATTTGGGGTGAAGAACAGTCGATTCATATTCGCCATCTCCACTTTGTCGTAGTCGAATAAGATAAGCTTTCCCATACCGCATCGAGTTAACATCTCGGACGTCACACTACCCACACCACCAACACCTACGACCGCCACTGTGAAGTTTCTGATATCTTGGTAATTGTCTACAATGCCCATCCTCTTCAGAGCCATCAGACGACTGTACGGATTGCTGTCTACTACTTCTGATGACATGTCCTCAGCATGCTTAGCTCTGTAGGTAGCCATTTCTCTTGCAAGAAAAGCGACACAGCACACACAGCACAACAACGCTCTTGCAGAACTAGAAACAGACTTCAAAACAAAAAATTCAAGACAAAGAAATCGAAATCATGTTTGAACCATGGAGTCGTAAAATACCGGGAGGCGACACGCCACACATTTCACGATCCGAGGATTACTGCACTCGACCCGCGAAATTTTACGACTCCCTGGTTTGAACAAAATCTTTCGAACTCGAAGCCGACAAGTACAGTAAGTAATTTAGTTACGCAACAAAGCTTCACGTCATCGTCACGTCACGCTCGCGGCCAGACTACGTCATTGCATTGCTGTGCACGTGTCGTTGGTTCGAAAAATAATTTTTCTGCTCGCGCCATATCCACGTTTTGAAATGAAATCTCGAAATTGACGATCAGTGAACGATAGATTTACAATTAAATTTTGTCCGTATCCAGTGATTCATATCCATAGCTTCGTGCTGTGGAGTGTATTCTCGTAGTCGTCCTCTTCAGACGTGAAAGTGTGTGATCACATTCTGATGGCTGATGGCTGAAGAAGCGGAATATCAAGCAGTGGGCGAGGAGGACGCTGGTGCCACTGGCGAAGCAAGTTTATCTGGAAATGCTCCCGATGAAAACCTATCAAATGATAATGGCCAAGCTGAAAGAAGTACTGGCTTCACGGGTCCTCGTGAAGGGTACGAATGGGACCCCATGAGACAAGGCTATTTTCCTAAAGTAAGTTAGACGATCATGTCATGATTCTTTTGGAATTGCTGACATTTAAGAGACTGAATATACATGTCAATAAATGCGTAGAAATGCGTAGAATGCGAGACATGCGGGGGAAATATAAATGAATACAATTATCCAACTCAATCTAGTACGGCAAGTCTGACCTTCACACTTCATGGCGTTGCTGTACACCATACTGCACTCGACAGCCTTGGTCTAATTCCTGACCGTGCCGGAAGCCTGGCACACAGCGGGGAGGGGCACGGGCAGAGTAGTGGAAGCATGTTCCATCCACCAGCAGCAAGAAATAGCAGATAAACAGGAGAGGTTGATGCAACCATCTCTCTCTCTCTCTCTCTCACTCTCTTTCTCACTCTTTCTCTCACACACATACGCACGCATGCACACGCACACACACACCTTCCATTGCCCGCTCTCTACTGCATGTGGCAATACATGGCTTAAGTTTTGACATACATACATGTAGATATACCTGATTGGAACTTGGAATAGAAGCCTGATATGAATAGAACCCTAGTACTTACATCGGCTTCTACAGGAATACCGGTAAGCCCGGCTTTACTAAGTGACATTTCATATGGTACCATAGAAATTTCCAAGGCGACAACAAGAATTTGTCGGGAAGCCTGAAAAGTTACCCAGTCCTTTCAGGCAGAGTGTGAACCCTTGTACAATTACGCTCACTGAAATCCCACCCAAAGTGCTAGCTGACAGCCTGGACCAGTTCCGATTACATCACTGTAGTGGGACATGTGTGCGTCCACCCGTATTCATACCACTTCCAGCGCATCAAGGGCCGTGCAAGTAGAGGGCGCCAAATATGCCCTGTGGGTCGGATTGCACCGAGCACAACTGTGCAATGCACCATTCCTGTATTTAGCGTACTTTCACCAGGCAGTTGTATGTTGCATGTAAAATGCAATCTGAATTCAGGCTTGGGAAATTGTTGCCTTTTAGGTTTTACTCGTGGCCTGGCGCGAGGGAAACACAGATGCAGTGAATGGGATTTTCAGTCTTTGACCACTTTGTGGTGGGTCTGATCTACCCACCTCCTACCGCCTAGGAGCTGCATCTGCGCCTTGATCCTAGAGGGTGGTGGTGTTCCTGCGGATGCCTTGATCCTAGAGGGTGGTGGTGTTCCTGCGGATGCCTTGATCCTAGAGGGTGGTGGTGTTCCTGCGGATGCCTTGATCCTAGAGGGTGGTGGTGTTCCTGCGGATGCCTTGATCCTAGAGGGTAGTGGTGTTCCTGCGGATGCCTTGATCCTAGAGGGTGGTGGTGTTCCTGCGGATGCCTTGATCCTAGAGGGTGGTTGTGTTCCTGCGGATGCCTTGATCCTAGAGGGTGGTTGTGTTCCTGCGGATGCCTTGATCCTAGAGGGTGGTGGTGTTCCTGCGGATGCCTTGATCCTAGAGGGTGGTGGTGTTCCTGCGGATGCCTTGATCCTAGAGGGTGGTGGTGTTCCTGCGGATGCGGAAAACTGGGCCTCCAGCCTAGTCTCACGCGAACCGTGAAATTTTTGTTAGGTATTATTTTGTACCGGATGTTTTATGTACGTAGTCTGCAGAGGGCCTTATTGAGACCAGTTTAGGGAGTCATGGTATACTCCACTGATGACACAAGATAGAAATGGCTGCTGCTTCTACCGTAAAGTACCGCGTGGGCGAGAGCGTCCCACATTGATTTTACAGCCAGGGAAAGGAAAATCGTATGGCAGAGTGCAACGAAGATCGTACGGTGTGAAAGCCTTAGTGTACTAAGGTCACACTTAGCAGGTTTTTGTGTAGAGCCCGTGTCAACATTTTCTTCTTTTGGTTCTTGTGCCGGTGCAGATTGATGATGACTTCATGGCATACTACCAAGCCTCGTACGGTTTTGTCGAGGAAGATGGCGTTGTCAAGCCAGCACCAGCGCTGCCGGTAGAAGAGGTTCTTGCTGCTCAGGTAGGTGTTTTGTTGAGTGGTCGGTGATTGTGTGATTGTGTGGTTGGTGATTGTGCATAGGCAGTTGTCAGGTTCATTCATCTGTTGCACTTCTTTTACAAATACATGTATAGTCCGGAAAGCACATCAGGCCTTCCAGTCGACACAGCAGCAAGAACATTGACCAACGTATACTTGTGGATCCCTGGGTTTGTGTCGTTACGTGCATGTATTGCTATTCAGAGTGGTGCCAACGTTGCGTGCTCCCTTCTTGTTTTCGGTCTTGGTGCACTCCATTTTTTGCTTGCTTGGGATTTTATGCTCACCACGTTTACCTGTGTGTTGTAGGCCGCCAGTCAGCCTCCTCCTCCAACCACAGAAGATGCGGAGAATGAGAATGCATCCCAGCATGAGAAGCCGGAGAAACCTGGCTCCAAAGCGGCAAAGAGCGCGGGCGCTCCTAGTGACGCTACAGGCACTGCTGGTGCTGCGGGCACAACGGAGGGCGAAGATCCCAGCAAACAAGCTCAAGGGAAAAAGCGCAAGGCCGCATCAGACCCTTGTAGGTACACATGTACATGTATACGGTTGAGTGTCACGCATCCGACCACTTCAGGAATGGGGCCATGTTGGGTAACTGAATATGTTGGAAAACAGACATCATGTTACATGTGTGATTTTTCTTTCTGATGCACACAGAGGTACACACCTGTACATATTATGTACTCATGTTTGCGTTGATGGGATTGTCTTTTTAGGGCCATTTTTGACTACATTTTGACTGCATTTTTGAGTTTATCACCAATGACATTTGAAAATGTTTTTCGGTGAATCTCGCGTAGTTTGCCTTGCAGTGTTCGGTGTTGCTGTGCTTTTCGAATTGAGCACAATATTTTATGTAATGTATGCAGCTGAACTATGCATGTTGTATCATTGCCCCAGGATCTGTTCTACTTTATCACATTATAGTGGTCTTACTTAGTGTGAAGCTTTGCTTGAAAGTCTTAGTCTCCTCGTTACAGCATTATGCAGCGTTACAGCATGCTGATTCGACAGTAGGCTGGTTGCACTTGTTGTCCCATGATAAAGGTCTTGCAGCTCCCATGTTGGGCAGTGGCTCATTACAATAGCTCCCATGTTGGGCAGTGGCTCATTACAATAGCTCCCATGTGAAGTGCTACTGTAGGTTATTTTGTATCACCTTGTGTTTGATTTCATTGTGTTGTTTCATCTTGTGTTTGATTTCATTGTGTTGTTTCATCTTGTGTTTGATTTCATTGTGTTGTTTCATCTTGTGTTTGATTTCATTGTGTTGTTTCATCTTGTGTTTGATTTCATTGTGTTGTTTCATCTTGTGTTTGATTTCATTGTGTTGTTTCATCTTGTGTTTGATTTCATTGTGTTGTTTCATCTTGTGTTTGATTTCATTGTGTTGTTTCATCTTGTGTTTGATTTCATTGTGTTGTTTCATCTTGTGTTTGATTTCATTGTGTTGTTTCATCTTGTGTTTGATTTCATTGTGTTGTTTCATCTTGTGTTTGATTTCATTGTGTTGTTTCATCTTGTGTTTGATTTCATTGTGTTGTTTCATCTTGTGTTTGATTTCATTGTGTTGTTTCATCTTGTGTTTGATTTCATTGTGTTTGATTTCATTGTGTTTGATTTCATTGTGTTGTTTCATCTTGTAGCCTGGTTCGAAATGGAGGAGGCCAAGAACAACAATGTGTATGTCTCGGGTAAGGAAAGAGATGCCTGGTAATGAAGTTGACGTCTTGCCCATTCCCATGGGGCGCACGGTTCTTGTTCATCAACCTGCTGCAACTGTGCAGGGGCATGTCTATGTTGTGCCGTTTTAGAATGTTGGGTTTCTATTCCCCCTCCTCCCCTTCCCCTCCCCTTCCCCTTCCCCCCTCCCCTTTCCCCCTCCCCCCCCCCCCCTCTCTCTCTCTCTCTCTCTCTCTCTTTCTTTCTCCATCCATTTATCTATCCATCCATCTATCTCTGTTTCTATTTCTATCACCTCTATCTATAATGGCAAGAAAAAGTTTAAATTTCAAGCTCTTTGCGACCATCATCAGGACTCGAGGACTCAAGAATTTCACAAATCAGTGTTCGTGTTTTCTCATCAAGTGAAATACAAGTAACCAGAACCAGTGGAATGTATGGATAAATAGCACCACAAAGGGTGTAACCATTACAGCAAAATGTATCCCTCAACTTGTGAACATTACAGCAAAGTGATAAATTATGTCTATCCGTCTCTGTATTTTGTGCATCAAGGCTTGCCAGTGGAGTACTCAGAACAAGAATTTTATGACCTCATGTCAAAATGTGGGATCGTGAAGGATGATGACATTACTGGTAAGTACAAACTGCCTTGTTCTTATAGGTCCCTAACCCCAGTCCACTGTTTTTTTGTTTTATCCTTTGTTGGCAATCTTGGTTTCCTGACTTGTCGTTTGTCAGGATTCTGACTTGTTTGAGAAGCCCACTTTATGGTTATAGTCTTCATATATACTTAAATAGAATCAGTGCACTAGTCTCTTCAAGACAGTATAGTTATACCATTCTACAAGAGTTGAACAGTATCCCGTTAAGCACAGGGATGAATTTACTGCCATGTTCTTGCATAGCAGTTTTTCCTATGCAAAATCTCGTAAGCTACAAAAAGCATGAATAGCCTGTACATGCACATGTATGTATCGCAGCTTTCTGTGTGTCACTGTCATTTTTGAGAAGCAGTAGATCGATTTTGCGTAGCAAACTGCGATGCGATACCGGATAAATTCATCCCTGAAGCATTGTTCTCTCTTTCTCCTGTGGTTTACTGTGTGCCGGCAGAGGAGCCAAAGATCAAGCTGTACCGCACAAAGGATGAGCAGCTGAAGGGAGATGGGCTTTGTTGCTACCTGAAGGTATACATGCACTTACCGTATTTTCCCGAATATAAGTTGACTTCGAATATGAGTCAACCTTCCCAAATCAAAGAGGCCCATGCATGAAAAAAAGTTTCGCTGCTCCAGACATTCCAAAATGCTCAATTTTGTGAACTGGAGGAGATTATCCAACTGCCATGTCTTTCACTATCGGGGATCATCAGTTGTTTGATAGTGGCTAGCATATCGGCAACTCCAAGGTGAGGTGGCTGACCACTTATGACCTTCTCGAGCAGATCGGACGCTGCTTGCCTAGCCTTCCTCTTGAATGCCGGAAAGTTGGCCACATGAGCAACTTGGGACACATGACGTGCGTGGGGGACACGGAGTTGGATGTCCACACCGATTTCTTTAGCTGTTATGACCATGGGAAGTGGTGTGTGAGCACCATAACCATAGCACAAGGCATACGCTTTCTCCCATCCTTCATGGGAACGCACAGCCCAACAGCTTGCTTCAGCCACAATAGCGCCCACTTATATGAAAAGCCGCTACTTGGATGTGGGTAGAACTGACAAGGCCTTCCTTTACCAGAATCTGGGTCGATGATGGTAGACCTGAGAGGGTCTTTTATCTGGGATAGTTGCATGCTCTTAGAAGGTGGCGTGCCACAACCTGGTAATGAGTTGCCGGACATGAATGACCCTCCGGTGAAAGTCCAGCGAACGCTGGACTTGTTGGCGATGCAGGTACCACCATCATCACTGTCGACGGTCATTGTTTTCGCCGTTGGCACTTTCCCATCTTCTGTTTGGTCGAGCGCGAAGCCAGTCTGGTCCCAGTCGAAAACCATGCCGGGATCAGTGATAAAGAACATGGCGCTATATGGCTCATCGGGTTTGAAATTAGGATTGGCTACCACAATGCCACACCGAATCATGCCCTCCATCACAATGCTGTACCATGCACTTGTTGTCCAGCGCTGCCTGTCCATCTACAATTGATTTTGGTTCTTCATTTATGCCATAGGTCTGCCGAAAGCCGTAATGCCACGTGGGTGTATAACACGTTCTTGTCTTTAAATTCCTCAGCCAGCTTGGTACCCTTGATTAGGTGATTAGCTGCACCGACAACCAGGGACTTTCCAGCCTTGAGATTCGAAGCCCTCAGCGTTTTGATGAAGTTGACCAGCTTGACTTCATGGCGAAGGGGCAAATGGGTGTTCTGGCCACATCGCACCGGCGTTAATATCCGTGGTGAGCAAGGGAACCGTTATGCATGCATGGCATCAATGGCCCACTTGCTGCCTTCGCGGTACAGCCCAACAGATCCATGACGACCATACTCGGCCGTATCACCAACTCGGCTGCATTTGCTTTGGAGACTGCCCACTTGCTGCCTTCGCGGTACAGCCCAACAGATCCATGACGACCATACTCGTGTTGACAAATCCCTGGTTTATGGTTATTATTTGCCCCTCAGATTGACACAATTACAAAGGCACCAAGTAGTTAGGAGACGGAATGTCTTCTTATTAATATTGGACAATTACAGGTGGACAAGACGAGGTAAGATTATCAACTGATTAGAACTAAACCAATCACCAACTCGGCTGCATTTGCTGTGGAGACTGCCCACTTGCTGCCTTCGCGGTACAGCCCAACAGATCCATGATGACTATACTCGGCCGTATCACCAACTCGGCTGCATTTGCTTTGGAGACTGCCCACTTGCTGCCTTCACGGTACAGCCCAACAGATCCATGACGACCATACTCGGCCGTATCACCAACTCGGCTGCATTTGCTTTGGAGACTGTCCAGCACTAGCGCCATGTTGATATCTGCAGCCGGCTCGACCGTCACTGGGCTCCATTCTGTTGCATATTCAGGAGTAGGAGCAGGAGGAGGCAGTTCACCACTTTTGATCCACTCCAGTACACCAGTATCACTAAACTCGCACTCCACATGTCGGAAAAGTTGTCTGCTGATGTTGAATGCCGTGGCAGCCTTGGACTTCGAGGTGTAGGTAGTGGCTGTGTCGGAGGGGGAGTAAAATGCACGGACGGCTAGCTTTGCACGCTGTACTGTTTTTTCTTTCTCCTGGGGCTTACTCATGAACTCGCTGCTCCCAGCAACTGCTTCCGTGGCAGTAGGATGTGGTGCCCCCGTCCTAAGGCCATACAGGCGATGAGAAAACTATTTTACACAATTAACAATCAGTTTGTTTCCCCTGTCCCACCCCCTACTTTTTTTTGTTCAGCAGTGGAGTTCTGAAGCACGCCAGGTGATCTCTTTCACTTGAGCGGTTGCAGTGGTTGGAGTGAATCAATGAGAGTATTGGTGCATGATTCATGTTCCATGTTTCTGGTACTTCAAAGTGCAGTGCAGCTTCAGTGTAGCATACATCCAGGCTCGCGAAGAATGGAATCAGCCCTGAGCATGAGGGCAAGACCAGAAAGCTCATACCTGAAGAGCGAAGCTTGGAGGATACACTGGTCTAGCCTGAGTACAGATGCTTTTGATTGCATTCCGGACATGCCCAACAGACAAAAGTCACAAACTCAATCACATTTGTAGGGTTTTTAAAGTTTCCTTTGTACTTCTGACTGTTCAAGTGAGAAAACCGATGTTGATAGCCAGTCATGCTCAATGCAAGCTGTAAGGAGTTGTGTGAAGGTTGCCCTGATAAGATCCCCTTTCTTCGCTCAGTGCAGTCGAAGACAGGTGAAGTGCTTGGTTCTATAATATAATTCAATATCAAATTAAAAAGCGGATAAAGATTATCAATAGGTGCCCTGCTAGGAGAGTAGATGCCGTCAGTATATGCCCTCTTATAGGAGGTTACTAGATCACAACTATCTTCCCACCGAACACTCGTTAGGGCAAAGAATATGCTATCTCTGCCCTGCTGAATTCATCATGATTGGCTACCACAATAGTGATCATCGTGGAACACAATCATCAGAAAAATTGAGAAAAAAATAGTACTTGATATTGATAGCGACTTTGGCGATGAAAAGTGCGAGCTCCGGTGTGGGGAGCGAACACCTTTCTTATAAAAAACTGTACTGTGAAGTTTGTAGCCGTACTTTATTGTCGAGGTACTGTGTATGTAGCCAAGGGGAAATGACTAGTGTACATGTAGTGTAATGTAGATGTTGGCTGCTCCTAACTAGGGCTGCAACGGGTAGGGGTTTGTTCGGGTAATGGGTCCGGGTATTTTTATCCGGGTAGCACGGGAACCCTATCGGGTATTTTTGACACAGTTTGTCCTGTGAGTGTGCACTTGCGATACATAGAAAGTGTACAGTAAGCACGTAGCCATGTTGTTTACATGCATCGTGGCAAAAAAAACCCCACCATACTCCAACTACCCGATCGGATTCTCAGGTGCAAATAATTAATTGCTACCCTACTACTGTACCCGATAAAATTACGGCTAGCACGGGTACCCTACTACTCGTTGACACCCCTACTCCTAACATGAGGCGCACGTGGTATCATGCAGGGAACTTAGTTTATGGTTTTTTCTGAAGTTGTTGTTTTTAATTTTTTCCCTCGAATTTGCAGACTTTAAATTTCACTCGGACACTGAACCAGTAAGAAATGTAAGATAGAAGAAAAACACTTGGGAACGAGTTATGAAGCAACTATCCACGACTGTAACAAGGTAATACGCAGTCAGAAAGTGCAATAACAGGGCACAAAACTGACAGGCTACTGAGACATTCAACGACCTGAGACCTAGCTCTAACAAATCTCCAGTGCGCAAACCAACAGCCTTCCAACTTGGAAGGTTCACGGTTAGGTCGGACTGAAGAGGAGACGGTGAGCGCAGCGAAAACGTGCACAAGCTAAGTCCGACAGCAACAAAGAATGCCGAATGTTACAGGACGATGGTGAGACCATGACAATGCGGTCTAATTACAATTCAAAACAGCAAAGCAAGACGCCACCCCAACTTGGGTCAGCAATATCAGAGATAAAGGAAGGGGGAGCTTTGCGAAAACGAATTGTACAAAACCGGAGCCAATATCTAACGGTACTCCTCATGCATGACACTTTCGTGAACGGGTTGAGTACGATAACAAGTAGTTTAACACGACGTACGTTTGGCCGTATTGTTCGTGACGGCGCATCAGGTTTTTTACTGTAAATTTCATTCTCAATTTCTTATCCTGTTTTATATCTCATTGTGTCCTTACTGTGTGTTTATGCAGCACGAGTCTGTTGCATTAGCCATCCAGATACTGGATGGCAGTATGGTCGGCAGTGGCACAATTTCAGTGCAACAAGTGAGTGGGCATTATCACCCTTGTACATGTAGCTGTAACAGTAGAATATGTCAAGGACACACTTCAGGTTCTTCAATAGCAAATGTTCTACTAGAACTTGCCTCGGATAGCACACGACTTGGGTCCATTACAAGACTGTATTATTTACTCTCAGTCTGACTCAAGTGGAAATCATCTTGCCAGTACACAGGACGTTCTGCTTCTCTCGAAGCAGAAGCGGAGATTTTCAAACGTTCAAGTCAAAAGATCGCGCGAAAGCAGTATACGCGCATCAGATGTCAGCTGACGTGAAGAATGGTACAACAGCATGAGGAATGAATGCGTAGAATAGTACAATGATGCACAACAGTACACCAAGCAGGTAGTACACAAATTGCCGTACATGTACAGTGTAGATACAGCTGCAGGCGTGCTCCACATTGTAGCAGAAATCGTGAAAGGCAGCACTAGAGTGCTGATAGACATATACATAAACTGTGATTACTACAAGCATGATCCGTGCAACAGTTCAGGACTGGCTTTGCACCACAATAACACTAATCAGTGGGCTGGATATAAACTGGTCAGCAACATTTTGGAAGTTCCACGAGTATACTTTCTAGCCTTCTCTTCAGGTGGTGTACATGCAAGAGCAAAGGAACAAGAATAATGAATCCTGAAGTGAAGTGAAGTGTGTCCCTTTTTCTAAGTGTTTCTCTTCTACATACATGTGTTGGTATAGTTACCTGTTTTACGATTGCAATCAACCTACATGTAAATGTAACTTTCAAGTTGGGAGCATGTCCAAGTCACAGATCCAGGGAGTTTCCGAAATTTTCGCTGGCAAAATGTATCAGTATCTCCAGTAGGTCGAGGTCTAAATTTTGAAATGACGTCACCCGGCATAAGAGCTTTTCTGCTTCTACACAACACTGTGGTGCATGTACAGTGCTGCTCAATGAAATCCAGTCGCGTCACTCAAGTGCACGCCGGACGTTGCGCAGCCCTAGACCTGCGAACACTGGGCTGCGAAAAGGTGCAAGGCGCAAACTTGAGTGACGCGACTGGATTTCGTTGAGCAGAACTGTACTTCAGTATGTCCATCCAGGCATCCACTCTGTTACATGGTGTGTGTGTGTGTGTGTGTCCCTACAGGTGTGTAATCAGGATAGTTTTCTTGCTGCCACAAATGTCTTCTTCTTTTTGTTTCCCTCAGGCCCAGTTTGAGCGTAAAGGTGAATTTAATCCCAGTGTGAGAAAGAAGAAGAAACCGAAAAAGAAGAATGCCAAGAGCGCCCAAGAAAAGTGAGTGTTGTTGTGATGGTAGTCACTCTACCTTGCTTCTCACTACTCGTAGTCTTCAGGGTGCTGAGTCGAATGGTCTTGGTCCGATGAAGCTGAGATGCTCCCTTCCTCCTATATTCCCAATCGAACTCGCGCACTTCCACCGAAACTGGGTGACTGCGCCCTACTAGATGGGGATTTGTATGCAAAATGTCACTAAAAGCGCCATTTCGTTCTTTAAAGCACGGATGACCACGATTGGCCCATATGTTGTAGTCTTTTGGACGCTGGGTCGACTGGTTTTGGTCCGAAAAGGCTATGATGCAGCGTTATTTCCAATCGAACTCGGTTGAGTAAGTGGTCACGTCCTCATGCATACACCAGTCACCTGGTCACTGTGCCTGCATGCTGCAACTTACAGCCTATTTGGGCGCTCTCCTGGCAACCTTGGTGTGAAAGTTGTAGCCCTTCCGGCGCCCTTGTACATTATTATAAGCTAGTTCTGTACAGAAAGATGACCGAAGGTGCAAGTGACACTGTCAGGCATTTCTGCAGTGGAAAAGTAGTTCTAGGGTTACAATTTGGCAGGACTCTAATGTCGTCAGCTTTGCTTTCCATATCTGTACTAACTACAGAATCTGCTACTTTCCTTGTGTTGCTGTGTCCACATGTGTTTCTGTGTTTCAGATTGTTGGGCTGGAATGAGCCGAAGAAGGGACCAATGAAGCGGAAAAACGAGAAGATTGTCATCTTTCACCATTGCTTTGAACCTAAAGAGTTCGAGGTGAGTACGTGTTAGTAAGGCACAAAGAGTGGTTGTTAAACCACTCTTTGTTACAAGGGTTCAGGGAGTGAGAAGGCAGGGAGTTAGTGCGGAAGACCGGGGGATTCTACAGTTTTGATATCGCTTATCGCCTGTTGGAGAGCTGTGTGTTTGCGTACCAGTATCAATCAACATGCCTTTTTCATTTCTGTTTTGCAGGAGGATGCTCTACTTATCAATGAAGTCCGTGATGACCTGAAAGGGGAATGCGAGAAGTGTGGACCGGTGCATAAAGTTATTGTTTATGATGTAAGTACAACCCGGTGGTAGTCTGTGGATGCATTCCGTTCTCGGGGTGTCGAGAAGCACTGCAATACACCTGTGCTCGACTTCCACACGACTTGCAATAAGTGTAGATCAGATGGGAGTTAGATGTTGGGCTAGGTGAGCAAGTCCAAGGCTGATTTCGGCAAGGCAGCTTACAAGTATGGGATGATTTACCTTAGGCTGTACTCACACTACTTGAAAGTTTGACGCGAATGCCGCGTTCAAAACTAGACAAAAGTACTTGAAAAAGCCTTTCGAAGCACACTGCACTCCAGTGACGACTTGAAACATTTTTGTCAGCAAATTACCATGGAGAAACATGATTGTCATGTGGTAGTTTTGCAAATCCCGAGGCTGCGTTCCTTCAATTTTTTTGCGCTCGATCAACTTATTTGAAATTTTCAGTTCATGAGAAAAATAGAAACAGTTATATCTTGCTTGTATCGTGGAGTTCAGTCGCCATGCCTCGCGAAGAAGTAGCACATCGTCGACGTCGACGGATGAAGAGGTTTCTCTCCATAGCTCGATGAGCTTCTTCTCCAAGTCGTCAGAAAACACTACGCGAGGCATGATGTCGGTACAAAAGCAATGGTACAAAAGAAATGCGACAGAAACGGCAATCAAAACAACGGGATGCTACTGGAAGAAAGAAGACGGAAAATACTCGGAAAAAACACCACAGAATTCAGAAATGACAGGCAAAAAAAGGAAACTACAAGTATATGTACAGGAGCAGTACGACCACGAGGAAACAAAGCATGACAAATATTCTGGAGCCTTTCAACGTACAATAGTACTCCGGCCTCCTGACCTCACACAGCTTTCCAAATGTCTTGAAAGCAAAAAACCTCGTAGAAGAGGGTTCCGTTTCCGCTGAAACCTTTCAAGCGGCTTTCAAGGGCTTTTTTTCATTTTCGCAACCGTCACCGTGGCAACATTCACACGTAAGTCACTTGTATGCGGTTTTTCAAGTAGTGTGAGTACAGCCTTATGGGAGTTGTGTGTGTGTGTGTGTGTGTGTGTGTGTGTGTGTGTGTGTGTGTGTGTGTGTGTGTGTGTGCGAGGCTTTGCAAGCCCGCGAGTGGAGCAAACTACCGCACGAAGACGACGACTTGGAACGACTCTGAGCGTTGGCTCATGGAATGTTCGCTCTGTTGTGGAGAGTGATGGACCAGTTCTAGCGGCAGCCGTGAAAGGAATCGTTTCCGATGATAAGCCAGATCCATAGCTGCTGGAGATGGCTCTCTCGAACATGGTCCCGCTCGTCGTTCTATATTGTCGGCCCCGTAAGGGGACACGTGACCGTAATGGCAGTGTTAACCAGTACCAGGACCAGGTGTGTGTGTGTGTGCGCGCGTGTGTGTGTGTGTGTGTGTGTGTGTGTGTGTGTGTGTGTGTGTGTGTGTGTGAGTGTGTGCATGTCTGTCTGTCTGTCTGTCTGTCTGGGTATGTGTTTAGCGGCATCCTGAAGGTGTACTGTCAGTGGCATTCAAGGAGTTCGAAGGCGCTGAAGAATGTGTAAAGGTACAGTCACTTCTAAGTTGTATTTTTTCAGTTTCGTTGTATAGATATGTATCTTGTATCTTGAGATTTTTGACTATTGATAATACGAATTATTATTATTATTGTGCCCACAATTTCCCATGTTACAGATAATATTATTATCTTCCATTAGTTTGAGGGAATGTTGAATTTTGAAATTCTTTCCTGCGTTTGTGTTGGACAGGTGATGAACGGCAGATGGTACGCTGGTCGTCAGCTGAAAGCAGAACTCTACGATGGCGTGACAAGCTATCAGATTGAAGAGACGGACCTTGAGCGAGTCGACCGCCTCAAGAAGTGGGAGGAATTCATCTCTTCAGAAACGTCTGGCCAGGATGGAGCAAGCAAGCCAGAAGCCAAGCCAGCAGCCAGGTCAGCTGTGTACTAATAAGGCGATGTGTCATGTCATTGTGATTCACAATGCATGTGCATTTGATTGTTGTGAGGTTGTACTGATGAAAGTCGTATTCAAATGTACTACATCTAGTATAGTTGAATACATCGTTGCATAGTTGTGGTGGGAATGTGGGGGGGGGGGGGGGGCATTAATTTGGTCGTATGTTGTGCCCTGCATCAAATTGAATTTACCGTCTTGTTTTTGGTGCTGTAGCGATGCGAGCTCAGCTGATGATGTACCTATGTCCAGTGAGGAGCCTGCGACTTCAGCCAGTTAACGTTGCAACGTGCAACCTGTCCAACTGTCAGTACGTACCCTTACTTTGAACTCCTTCATGACATGTGTGGTAGCCCTACTGTAGGAACACTTGACACTACCAGTTACAGTAGCATTTGGAGAAGTATTGCAAAGAAACAGGCAAGATTCTCTGACTCTCCGCTCGCAGAGAAGATGTTTTCCTCGGCCCCTTTGGTTGGTGACGTGTATACTGTCATTGCTCATCAATTGCCAAAAGCCTTCTTGTACATAAATGTGACATAGTGTGATATTCTCTACCAGATCTTACAGGTCAATCCTGGTGATTGAGCCGACAACTGTACATATCTGCCTCCCCGTTGCTTCTCTTCTCTCTTTTTTAAACTGCTTTGCTGCTTTGTTTGAATTGCATTGTGCTGGTCAACTCCATTTGTTGACAACTTCTAGTTCTGAGCCAAGGAAATACCTGCGTTCTCGGCTAGGCCTGATCTGAAGAAAAGAAGAGAAAAACTTGAAAATACTCATGGAGGGCATTCTATCACTAGTATGTATGATAGACAGTTCTGACTGATGCTGGCAGATGCTTGTATAGCATGGGGGAGGGGGGGGGGGGGGGGGAGATCCTCCTTGTTACGGAGGTTTGGCAAGACGAATTTCGTGTTCACACTCCAATGAAAGTCGAACTCAGCGGCGAAATTCGCGTTATTACGAGGATTAGCAAACGTAAATCGCATTTGCATGACGTTGACAAGTCGTGCATTTGTACAGACAGTACAACAAAGTAAATTTATGACTGTCCTGACACGAATCCGTGATTCGTGTTTCGACTGCTTTTCTGAATGAAAATGCAAACGTTTGCAATCCAGTTCGCAAACTCGAACGAAAAATTTGCGGTGCTTAGCGTCCGTATTCCTTGCTTTGGATCTTGTGCCAACGGCTTGTGTATTTTTTTTGCGATGAAGTATTTGTTTGATCATTGTGAAACTTGCAGCCAAGAAGTGTTGATTGCCCTGTGCCGGTGATAACTTTGCTCCTCTACCAGCACTACACTGTAGTGGTCCTGTAGTACAGTGCAACTCTGGTAAAACTCTGGTAAGACGTGTACCCCACATGGACAGCAGCAGGAAACTGTGCTTAGTATCCAAGGCCATGCTTATCCCAACATACTTCAGTGTGGGCCAATGTGCCCGTGCTCCACACAATCTCCGTGTATGTCTTATCATAGTACACGTACTAAGGGTGCGTGCTTATCTTCTCTAGCTTCTCGGAGAAGCTTCTCCTGGAAGTCGAAGAAACTGGGATAACTGAGGAACGGATCTCGAAGAATTCGGAGATCTTTTGTACATGTGAAGCGCCAATGGGGCCGCAAACTTGAGTGACACGAATGTAGTAGGCACTGTGCGTATACGAAAAGGTAATGTCGTACGCTCATGATCAACACGTGGCTTTAGCAGTAATTCGCATGCGCTGACCCCAAAACGCGGGGATTCTGCAAGTTTCAACCACCTCTGAAGTTAGTTCGGAGAGCTTTGAAGAGTCTCCTAAAATTTGGAAAGGATATAAGAACACTTCTCGAAGTTTAAGGAGAGTCTCGAACTTTTCCGAGAGGATTTTAAAAGAACGCAGCCCAAGTCCCTAAGTGAGTTCCACTTTGCACTGGAGTAAATTATTTTGGTGTGAAAACCAGAAGGGTGTACTGTTGCTGATAGGAGTAATCCCCAATGTCTGCAGAGTAATTCCCCCCATGGTAGAGAGGTGGAAGGCGAACAGGATTGACATTGAAAGATTTCCTTTAGCAGTCAGATAACTGATAGCAAGTCAGTGTGCAAGCTAATGCCGGCCAGGTCGAGATTGCAAATAACAGTTATAATCAAAATTTGATGAGAGGAAAGTATGACTGAGTTGGTTCTTGGCACTCGACATCACTAGGTAAACATCACTATGTAAACGTAAATACTAGTAGATTGTATTGCTTGGAATTGGTCCACTCAACAATTCAAACAGGGCACCGAATCAAGTAGCTTTGAAATAGAGAAGTAGAGAATTTGTCTTGTATCAAGTTGGCTATGGAGGAAAGTTTGAATAGATGCCAATGCCTAGTAACTATGCAGTCAGTCAAGTGCAAGCCATGCAACACAGCTAAGCAAGCTATTTCTAGCGGGCTTCTGGTGCTGGTGTGGCGCCATACCAGCTAACCTGAAAAGCAAGCCGCCGCCTGCTGACAGTAGATTAGCAGCTGCACTGTAACACATAATGATCACAATATCCCATTGAGAACGGCTAGCGTTCCTCCCGGTAATGCACAGCAATAGCATTGCCATCGAACCAGTGCCTCTCATTCTCCAGCACAGCCAGGCATAGCAGGGGAAGCAGATCGGAAGAGTTGATCGCCCATGTCCCTTGCCAAATCAGCTCCTCGGGGATGAATTTCTGAGCCGTGAGCACCAGACTCGTTGAGCCGCTTTGGTATTCCAGCTGACAGTGTCCTTCCGCAAAAAAAAAAAAAGAGTATCGTGTTCATTCGCAGTTACCAATGACACTGCATGCCTGTACTGTTTTTGACTGTGTGACAGCAGCTAGGTTGTTCAGCTACACGGTTGTTACTACATGGCATCCTCTTTCCAGGATGCCTCCGGAATTGCTGGAGACTCTCCCCGTGATGGTGCCTTCTTTTTCCGACGGAAGGAGCGGCGAATGGAGGCAGAGAGGGTTCGTCGACGGGGTTTGCTGACTCCTGGAGTTGCCTGCCCGACAGTCTTCGGTCCCTGGTAACTATGGCGAATGTCTTCACTTCGTTTCAGACCCCCGCCATGACCAGCCGACAGGAATCCAATGCTGCCTGCAGTACTTGTGCTGCTGTTGCGTTTTGAGCTGGGCTTGCGTGCCGGCGAGCCTTGCTCAGTGTCGCTGGGTATTGGCGACGGTCCCCTGCGGCGCATCATAGACTTGAAGCGTGTCAGGAAGGATCCCGCTCCCTGGCTCTCATCATTGGAGCTTGCGGACGATACACTAATGGAACGCGATGTCATCATTTGGACGTTTTTGCGCAGATAGCGGTCTATGTCTGCAATGCCGAAAGCAGTCAACGCTGATGTCTCGATGACGCCTTTGATGTTCCATTTTGTGGCAAATGTCTGTGCATGCTCCTCGGAGACTGCTCGTGGGGCAATGATCAATGCTTCTTCACCTGCATCTGTTCCAGCCACTACCTCCTTTAGGTTCTCCTCGTTTGCCTGGTTGCCTATAAGCAAACATTTCGGCCCGATGTCGTCGAAACCCAGATGAGGACATGCTTCCTGGATATCTTCAAATACGCCTTCCAAATACTGCAGTGATGCTTGAGATTTTACAGAATACACCAGGATGTAGATGTTTGCTTCTGCTATAGCACGCTCTCGCATAGGCTTGTACTCACTGGCCGTAGCTCCAGTCACATCCAAGAATTCTACTGTCTCCGGGAGCCGTCCCCTCAACATCATGGAATGCTGCAGGCGCTCGCTGAACGTCGCTTCATACTCGACTGGAAACGAGTTGGCTCGTATGCGTGCGAGAATGGAGCTCTTTCCTACCTCGCACGCCCCCAGCAGGACCAAGCGTATGGGATCCTTTTGGCGCGAGAGACGACGCTTGAGACGCTGCAGCGCAGATGGCCGTCGCTCCAGCTCGCCCCGATGCTTGAAGCTCTTCGAACGACCAACACCATTGCCCTGCCGCGAACGTTCTGTTTGGTCGCTGGAACCCGGTTGTCGATGAGTTTCCACCTCTCCGTCGGACTGTGCCATGGCTCTCTTCCTCAGTCTCAGCAGGTGCCGAGGCCTTGGTATCACTTACTGCAATCACTGAATCAGTGGTGTTTCCGACCGACGCCGTGTAGCTGTCCTGTAGTGTAGATCTACACCTATGGCTATGTTAGTATGTAGGCTACACTGTCACACAATTATTTTTCTTAGTAACTGTTGCAGTGTTGTAGATCTACAAGTAGCACGGACTTCCTATCTGGCAGCACTGAGCACTGAGCAGTGAGCTCCGGGAGATCATGTGGACGGCCACATGATCAGTCATCAGTCATCAGGCACTTACTTGGCAAGCCTCGCACTCACTGCCACTGGATCTACATGTAGGAAGCCCCTTCAGGCTTCAGTGGCTTCACGCTCCAGGGAAGTGCACTCACTGACTTATCGTGTGCTCTGCTACAGACCATAAACCTTTCGAATGCGCAATAAAAGGCCGCACAGTAAAGTGAGCAGCGCTAGCTATTGTAGTATCGACTCGGGACGACAGGAGGAGTCATACCAGTAATAGGATAGTAACTGTTACTATCCTATCCTGTACTCTCAGTTTCCCTGGCCCTGCTGGGGGAACACAATCATGGTAAACACAGCTACGTCACGTGTACCGGGTTAGCTATGTGGTTAAATAGCATAATAATTATGCTATTTGCTCACCACAAACAATAATAATTATTATTATTGTTTGTGGTGAGCATGCACTATACGACAGTCATACACACGCTAAAAATTAATATCGCCGATTATCGGTAGCATGGATCGGAAGCAAACGTAGATCTATGAACTAGTAGTAGTATCTACCATGATCTACCCCATGTACTGTACTCTATCACTGTCCGGTGTGGCGATGTTCGTCACAGTGAATCTGACGCATCCAACCTCCTTCAGGTGTACTCGTGACGGTGTAGGAAAGAACACCTTCAGAACACTCACAGGGGTATTCAGAGCTGTGAGAAGTACCTACAGCACATTGTAGAAGCAGGCGAGCAATACTACTTACTAGTATTCTACCCGTACTGTAAGTGGCACTTTATGGTTAGCAAGTGCTTTCCACTGCGCATTCATCTGGAGATGGTGCCGCGTGGCCTTTACTTGGCTTGGCATGCTGTTGCAACTGCTGCGCCGAACAAAGGAGCAGGGAAATCCGGCTTCACATCCTTCTCGCCTGGTGAATGCATCTCCTACCTGCTTCTGATCATTTGATCCTCTGTATACCAGGTATACTGTCGCCTTGTGCAACGGCGGTCCTCAGCAGTCAGCACACGGCGATGCGGAATCAATCATGCATTGAAGATGTACCTCTATTCTTTCAAAGTCCTGTTCCAAGAAAGAGAAGTAGACTGCAGTAACTTGTAGTTACTACTAGTACTTGTCTGCTTCCAACAGGACTACAGTCTTCTACTAGTGTTACCCCTGGTTACCGGCCCTCCCGTCCAAGTCCCAACATCATTCTTAGCTCCGTTTCCTTCCCGCCGCAGTGTGGTCAGCGATGGAGTGCTTTGGTTAAACAATAGTTACATGGTCACCTGTTCCAGCATGGTGGGTATGGGGATTTTTTAACATTGTCGGTCCTGAGGTTTGGAGGTCACCACTGTCGCGAATTCACAGTCACTACTTGTATGTGCAGTGGATCTCGGGACCGATTTTGCGGGTGCACAGGCCCTGCTGACCCTGCAGTAATTTGTAGCTTAGACTGATCAGGAAATTATGCAACCAAAGTGTGGGACATAATTATACTGTAGTCATATACTCAATCTCCGGTCAGCTAGCTGTTTCGACCTTGTTAGGGAGGGATGGAGGGAGGGAGAGAGGAGGAGGAGGAGGAGGAGGGAGGGAGGGAGGGAGAAAGACAGAGACAGACAGAGACAGGATACCCGTCGCTACTGAAAGCTCCATCAGCCCATGCTGCTTCCGTGTGCAACAGGCAAGCCATCAAGAACAGACATTTCGATATTATCTGATAGTTTTCCATCATAGTTCTGTTCAGTGTATTTGCTTTCGTACATGTACTTCTGGTTTAATAGAGTCCAAGGCTGTACATGGAGGCAAATAATACCCTCACGTGCACGTGAGGTGTTCATAAAATCAAGTTCGAAATGGCAGCGACGGCTTGCAAAGAGAGAATGCTGTATACAACTCCCTGGTCTGAGTGCCTCAAATAACAAAGCATAATGCGTGTGTGTGCGTGTGTGTGTGTGTGCATGTGTGTGCGCACGTGTGTGTGTGTGTTTGTGTGTGTGTGTGTGTGTGTGTGTGTGTGTGTGTGTGTGTGTGTGTGTGTGTGTGTGTGTGTGAACTCACATGACGAAACTTGGCTGCAGGCTTGCAATTGGTAAATCAACAATATTTGCAAAAGGCATCATGTTGGACATAGGAAAAGTGGCTTGGAGCAACTAGCAGCATGATCAATGGCTTTTCACGGGTCCCAAGAGCACTCAGCAGTGGGGTTAAGCGTTTTTGTGTTGATAAAATATTCTACTCTGCTAAGTAATTTTGGTCTTCCTCAAGGTTCTGTGGTTTGTATGTCTGACGTATCTATTTTTATAAGAAGCACAAGACAAGTTCATCAGGGATGAAGTTTCACAATCAAATGACACGAGTGCACCTACAATGACTCAACACAGATCATGCAGTGAAGGGATAACGGTTCATTCTCTACTGGCGTGTGCATACCGCACATGTCAGCTCCTTTTCGGCATGATACGGCGGACAGTCGAGCCCAATGCCGCAGCCCGCCTCCACTGGCCAGAGGTGAGCGCCGTCAGTGTTTCCATGGTAACCGGGAAGCGTTTCGAAATGATCGTCAACGCAGACGTACTCGCTGCGGTGGTTGTTGCCGGAGGAGTGATGCGCCGTCATCAGGTACCCGGTGTACTCAACCACCCACTTGGGTGGACAGTCGTTTCTCGCAGGAACCATCAACGTCGTTGTTCTGCCGGTGGCGTAGCATACCGAGCACGGCACGTTTCTATCCTGCAGGGGTGACGTTGACTGGCCGGAGTTGCTGGTGAACTCATACTCCGTGCCGGCAATCTGGCCCAGCTTCTGCACGCCGCTGTTGAAACGGTCGTAGAGAGGCTGGAATGGCAGGCACAGGTAGTTTGCTCCGCCGCCAGCGTGCGAGTAGTACGACCCGGCCATGAAGCCCACGTACGTCAGTTCGGATCCGGCTGGGCACGCCGTTGATCCCCATCTGTTGTACGTCGTACCTACAGTGTTTAAAGTGTGTACAGGCATGTAGGGATGCAGAGATCATAATAATTATAGTCACCAGTAATATACATGTACTACAAGTAGAGGATGAACCACTCAATCACTTCTTATAATCACGATCAAATATTCACTCTGCACTAGTTGTGTCATTGTCTCATGGAAACAGGAGGTCTCTAGCACCTCTTGCCCATACGGACAGACTTGACTATGGGCTAACCGTTACCTCTTTTTAATGCAGCAAAACCTGTGACTAACGACCACCCCCTGCCCTTGGGGCCAGAGAAAAGCGGTCTTTAGTGGCAGGTGGTCTTTAGTTAGAGGTTTTCACCGCACAGCCATAACTGTGAATGTAAGACCGTCCGTGTCTGGCGCAGTGGTCTGTAGTACCAGGCTACTCGCTAGTCACGGTGGTCTTACTGTACTTCGAAGTAACTTAGTTAACCGTTATGTGTGCATGTCATGCTTTGCTTCAAGATATGCAGTGTAAGCACATACCGTATGCGACTCTTAAAGGAAGCAAACAAAAACATAATTCCAAAATAGAAATCAACGATGGCAATGAAATAGTACTTACCAATCTTTGAAATAATACTTTTCAGCTTGTGCACATCCTCACTCAGCTCTCGTACCACTACTGCCATATCACGCACCTTTTCTATTTCAGACCAACACAGACAGGCAGATAGACAGACACACACACACACACACACACACACACACACACACACACACACACACACATACACAGACACACACAAACACCCACATACACACACACACACACACACATACCAACATGCAAACAAACGAACAGATCAGACTTTAACGTCCAGTTAAAACCTTTCAAGGAAGAGCAAACAAGGTAGTGAAGAGCGGATGGCATACCCAGGTGAAGATCATCCAATGATCAAATGGAAATATTTGCCTTTGTCTTGTACCACAGTCAATGTGTGTATAAACAACGCACTGATGAAGCCCTGTCGCTGTACAGGTTGATACCCAAACGGCCCGGGGAGTGCCAGCACTAAATCATAACATCAGTACAACGGCGTTTTGGCATGCCCATCTTTCTGGTCATTTATGAACTTGTTCCTGGGTGATTGCAGTGTGTCACTTTAATGCGGTTCAAATCTTCTGGTGATTAGCTTACTGGTCTTGCAGAACGGTGGCCAGAAGTCACCCGGACAACTGCACGTGAAGTGTTTCGTGTCCACATTGTAGCGACACAGTCCACCGTTCTCACACTGCTTGCGAGAGCACATGCTGTTCTGCTGGGTCACTGCAGTCACAACCCACAACAACAACAACAATACAACAACAACAACAACAACAACAAGGAGAAAAGCAAAGAATCGTTAGTTACCTTTTCAATGTGCAACCGCCAACAGCACAACGACACAGATGAATATTGCCATGGTATGGTGAGTCTGAATTCGGTGCTGATGCGTAGCAGATACCGGCAATTGCTTCCAAAGCCGGACGTTAGTCGAGCTTACCATGACCGACTCTCTGCTCTTCGCAAGTACTTCGCAAGTACAAGTCATGTACATGTACACAATGTCATTGTGAAATACATGTACTGTTACATTTTACTGCGTTTTGAAGTTCTTTTTAGCACTTCCTGCTAGCATGCTATTGCTATGATGCTATCCTGCTATTTTATTTTATTTCATTTTTTACGAGAAACCACGAACCTCGAGAACAGAGTACTGCATGATACTTGATACTGATAGAGCTAGAGGTGGCTGCAGACGCAGCTGTGGTGGTGAAACTGGAGCATCTCCGCCGACCGGGGGGAGGAGGGGGGGGGGGAGTCTCGGCTTCAGCGACACTTCAGTGCACGAAAAAGTGGGGAGGAGTAGGCACAGGGGAGGGGAGGGGGAGTATTGCTATGGTAACTTGAATAGGCGGCGATCTTGGCTCTTTCACGTGACGACATCCGGTAGATCTACTATAGTACATGTACAAGACTGTGGCCAGACCCGGGCAAGGGCAGTTCCTGCCGAGGTGATTACCATGAATAGGGCATTGCCCCGATCTCGAGGGGTTAGGCACAGGGTCGAATGACTTGCACAAGTCACATGTAAGGTATTACTATTAGGTAAGCCTTGTTTGGTTGACAGCATGTTTTCAAAACACGGCGTTGCGTCCTCCGCCTGCCAACCAAAACAAGTCCCATGTAACTGTGTGAACTGCGGCAATGAGATTATAATGAGACGAGTTGGGTAGTGCCCGGGTAACCATCGGAAGTTGCCAAACCTGACACACACGTGGACCTGAACAGTGCAACAGAGCTAGAGCAGGACTACTAGCAGTAGAGGAAGAGCGAGATCGAGAGCGGTTCGCCACGGGGCATTGTGGCCTTTGTGGGTACCTAACAAAATCATTCTCAGCTTCTATTCAGCTTTCACGGTTACCACGTATTTTGTGGGCAGGTGCTGGGCAGGTGCTATCACTTAGTGGCTTCACTGTCGACAGTCTAAATCACGATCGGATCCTGTCGCTCGCAATGTCGAGCAGCAGTTATTGCCGTGTCCCTACTTGGTCAGACCCAAACACACATAATGCACCATAACGGCGGGTGTTGACATCTGCTTTCACGCTAAGCTCCGCATGTGTTGGGCAGCCGATCGACACTCGTTCGTGGAGTGCGGTTGTGCTATCGGAGCCTGTCGTTCACAATGGAAACTGAAACCGCACGATCGGTATGCTGCCTTGACTGAGTGTTACTGTTAGTGTGTATCACTGTATGCTGTATGCTGTAGATATCATCTGTATGCTGTATGCTGTATGCTGTAAATCAGTAGTTCTATTCGACCGATCGGGCGAGTTTTTCATTTCAATCATGTTCCAAGTAATTCTAACGGAAGATAATCCACACGATCTACGACCACACGGGACTACAGCGTACTATAACGAAGAGGCACACGGTGGCATGTGTAATTAGAACCAATGATTGTGGTTGGAGAGTCCCCCCCCCCCCCCCCCCCCCCCCGCGGGTGCAAAACATTCATGTACAATGTCTGATTTATCGAATCGTGAATACCAGCTCTTTTAAAACAAGCAAGCCATGCTGCCACACCACTGCGTGCAACACAGCAGGGACAGTCGGTCTAAGCGTTTACTCATCACACATATACCCTACCTAGCGGAAAACCACAACGGCTCTTACCGGGATTGAAGCAACGGAAGAGTTTTATCCGGTCGCCAGCTCGGCTGATTCCGATGTTGACAAACAGTGTTTGCATGTCCGTGAAGGGTAGATCGGAGAGTAATGCCTCGTCAATGCCTTGCTGCCGGAAGATCTCCACGTAGCGTTCGACGAAATTAGTGGGTAGAACGGCCTTTCGCATGAGATCCGTCATGCAATCCGGCATGCCACTAGGACCTACACGTGTATGTATCGCCACATGCAGCAGAGAGCGAGAAATGGAAGGCGTGTGTGTGTGTGTGTGTGTGTGTGTGTGTGTGTGTGTGTGTGTGTGTGTGAGAGAGAGAGAGAGAGAGAGAGAGAGAGAGAGAGAGAGAGAGAGAGAGAGAGAGAGAGAGAGAGAGAGAGAGAGAGAGAGAGAGAGAGAGAGAGAGAGAGAGAGAGAGAGAGAGAGAGAGAGAGAGAGAGAGAGAGAGAGAGAGAGAGAGGAGAGAGAGAGAGAGAGAGAGAGAGAGAGAGAGAGAGAGAGAGAGAGAGAGAGAGAGAGAGAGAGAGAGAGAGAGAGAGAGAGAGAGAGAGAGAGAGAGAGAGAGAGAGAGAGAGAGAGAGAGAGAGAGAGAGAGAGAGAGAGAGAGAGAGAGAGAGAGAGAGAGAGAGAGAGAGAGAGAGAGAAAGAAAGAAAGAAAGAAAGAGAGAGGCGGACAGGGAGACAGAGGAAGACAGACACAGTCAAAAGGAGAGAACAGGCCACGTGCAGAGAGAAGAAACGGAGAAGGGGAAGCAGGTAGAGGCAGAGACAAGGACATTGGGATTACATTTCGGGACCCTGTTGCAAAGATCAGTTTGTGTCCATTGCAGGATTGATACAAGGCAATGCTGCGGGTGCTGCATCGTCATTCACGCCAACCACAATACCGTTACAGTGTACTTCACTACTCCACGATTCAAAATGTGAGAGTATGAACAGAATACTGCACAGGAAGCGCGGGAGGCATAGGAAAAGCACACCGGCGCTTCCTGCTTTTGTAATACACAATATGTGTACATGTATCGGTGCACATGTACGTGTATGGCTAGGAATATCATGGTGACCATACATTACAGTGCTGCTGCTTCGTCAGATACAACAGTATACTATTACAACAGTATTACGCGACTCCTGACCTTGGTACTCAAAGTCATGCGCTGCATCAGCGCGGTTCATGTACACCACACGCTGACTCCATGATCCACACATCGCACCTCACTGGTTTCGCGCTATTCTGTTTTCACTCGAATCGCCGCGCATACGAACACCTGTGAATGTGCTGGAGCGTTCACAAAACTCAGAGAGACGAAACTATTCGTGTCGATACAAATTACAATGTTCTGACACAGTCCTCTACAAGAGCTGTTACAGTACATGTACTGTACATGTACTGTGAGTAGGCACGGAGAAGTCATGCGTGTAATGGGAACGCGATAAAAGCGGCATAGCAACTTTTTGACCCCATACATTCTTATAATGAGAGTGGCACGTGACGAGTTGCAGATGTCTAACTCCAAGCCGGGCAGTACAGTGTGAACGCGCAATGACCATCACAAGATTACTGCTCTGCTTTCAGGGTGGCATGTGAGGGCTAGATCCCCTAGTGCCCTCCTAAGTACAAGACCACGATACGCGATGGGAGGAGAGTAAACCAATACTAGCAGCAGCGGGTATGCACTGCACTGCTTTCAAAAGTGCTAGAATGTAGTGTTGTCAGGACTTGTGCCAAGTTGTGGTGTCAAAGTGCTGCAGGTTGTCAGGACTAGACAACCACGCAGTAGATATCAGATCTGCAGAGTGCACGTTTGTATAGACATATCCATCATGTTGGTCGAGTTGAAAATGTGAAGAAAGATAATTGCTTAGGAGGCCCCGCCCCGAGAATGTTGCAGCCCACTGGTGCATGTTCCAAGCCAGTCTAGTCTCTGCTCAGTATCCCAGTGAAAGGGGCAGTGGTAGCACTGCGGCAGAGAACTGCTGGAGGTACTAGGTAGCGATGGATGCTCCTCGCAGAACACGTAGGGCTAGGCCCGACGCCGCAGATAGGCCCAGTGCACGGTGAGTGACGGTTGTGAGTGAGGTGACTTGGCTCATGAAACCGATAATCGTATTGATTCCACAGTAATCAGTAGTAGTAGCAAGTCATGACGGGTGCTGTCGAATTGGCGAAGGACTGCCTGAGACGCAGGTAGCGCATCCAAAGATCAGTCTGTTGCTCCGAGTCACTGTTCTTCTTCAGCGCACCTCACCTAGATCCAGAGTGACATCTCCATCTTGGCCAGGACGCACCATTAGTCGCGACTGTCACCCTCTGACGTTCCAGCGGAGACGAAAATTACTGGCACACGGAAGTCTCGGCTGACAGGTCTCCCGCAGCAGAAGGCCTGAATCTGCGACTGGTAGTCACCTTGCTGTCACCTATGCCTCCACTCTACGTCCAGTCGATAGGCCCGAGCACGGCGCAGCGTATACGAGTATCTTTGCTGGCCGGGTCGAATGGCACATTGGCAAGAATTCGCCATTATTACATTCAACACTCTCACGCTTGACACCAGGGAGTCATAGAATATTTTACGATTACCTGGACCTCTGGAGAACTGCATTCGCACCATCCCCGAACTTGAACTGCATTCGCTTCATCCCCGAACTAACTTATACTGCATTCACTGCATCTCCGAACTAACTTGAAGTGTCCACTGAGGCCATCGCGTTGTGGCTTCGTGGGTTTCTGGGCTCAGGTAATGGTGGGGTGTGCAGCGATTACGCAGTGATACGGGTACATTGGATCGGCCCATTGTGCACTTCGTTGGCTTGCCTAATTTCTGCAGTGGGTCGTCGGTCCGGTCACTCCATTCCTGGGTTATGTGTGCTGGGCCAACGACTAGCCTTGAGAGACAAAGACACATTACGCGTGTGTTCGATGGCTTGCCCGATGTGTTCTGGATTGTACCATACGATACTTGAATCGCTTGTTCACACCATTGCCATTGGACCGTCTAATGCCAAGGTATGCACACAGATACATGTAAATCTACGCTGCATTGTGACTGCAGCAGAATGGTGCGGGGGTAGATACCCAGAAGATATCATATCATTGGCATGACCATTGGCCTGCCGATGCGCTGGCAGGATGATCCGCTGTGGGAGGATGTCCGCTCTACACTCTACAGGCCCTTGTGCTGGGTAACGGTGTGTAAGAAACACACTGAAACCGGATACCGATCACTTTCACTTTCAACGACCAAGGAAGTGTCCAGCAACCTTCGTGATGTGGGACTAGCAGTACAGCAGTAGACTCTCGATCAACCCGTGCTAAAGACTTGGAGAAAGGGACCCTCGGGCGATACAAAGTCCGCTCTAGTGCTACCATCGCACGAAACACCACGGCCTCCTTTAAAATGAACTAACTTGGTAACCGCAGAAATAGGAAGTGTTGTTGTTATTTCACTCGACATTGAATCGAAGCAGATTTCAAGCACATTCGCATCTTTGATTATCTGAAAATCGCCTTGATCCTCAAGCAAATAGAAAACGCCACCAATTGATACATTACAATGCAGTCAAGTGCACACGATCGCTACTCGAAGGTAGGAATACACACGAATACGCCGTGTGACACAGGACAACCCACGTATACGAAACGCGCAAGCAACTACTTCGAGTACACGTTCCAGTAAAATCCGCTCGCTGGTGGAAAGGATAATGAGGTAGTCTTGGGATACCCTCCTTCCTGCTGCTTTCACAAGCCAACCCACTATAGCCTACAGCAGTATATCCACAAATCCACAAGGGGCGTCCGCGAACAATAGGATACATGCCTCACGTTCTCTCTCCAGTTACTAGTAATCCTATCATGTTATGTTGCTGTGTGGTGGCCCAAGGATACCATATTGGTAATATGGTCGTCTGCATCCACTCCATGCCAATACACAATGTCACACAGAGGGGAGGGCGTAAGAAAAGCATATTGCATGATAAGCAGTTACAACGTTATTCGCAGGCACAAAACTTACGTTCATTGCTGGATGGGTTGTAGTTCATTTGCGGCGGCATCGCACCTTGCATCTGGGCCACCACCATAGCAGGCAGCAACACCAATAGTACCGAAAACGGTCGCAATAAAACGGCACAGCTGGTGAAAAGTGATCCACTCAGCGGATCATAACAGTGCCGACTTCTCAACTTATATTCCATGCTCACTGAGTATTTCTAGCAGATCAGCTGAGGAGTTCTGCTCTGACAGTTCTCGGTGTTTGAGTATTTCACGTTGAATATTCAGCAGGTCGCAGCTAACTGTGGGCGATCATCGGAAACGTTTGCTTATCTGAGATGATAAACACTTCACATGCCACACACCGCGGCGATGCAAATCTACCCAGAGTCTACCACGGACTAGCAGTGCCTCGTGCTATTATCCCAATAGCAAATTCTAGGATCTTGGTCCTTGGTCTCCTGATTCTTTGCCTCCTATTCAACTCTACTCTGTTCTGTAAACCAGCGTCCTCTTTCTGATCACCCGTCTTCCAGCTGTACCCTGCAAGAAGTGAGCATATTCGGAGATGGATGGTCGGGTAAAATGCACCCCACACCTTCAAGAAGCGGTTGTGCTGCTGCTACTGCCACCCCTGCTGCGATTGTACTCCCCTACTAGCTATCATCAGTGTAGACTGTAGCGTAGGCTGCTGCTGCTGCTGCGAGTGCTGTTTCATAGGCATGCATGTGCTCAGTCATGCACGCATGTCTAGACCTGGCCTGGCACTGGTAAGCATGGTAAGGCATCTCTTTCAGTTTCACTCCGTCCGTCATCAGTAGAGTACAGACCACAGTACAGACCACAGTACAGACCACAGTACAGACTACTGCAGTACTGGGTACATGTTAATGTTCTTGACTGGTACCTTACTATAATACTGAGCTGCTGGCGTGCTGCTGCTCTAATCCCGAGTATCCCCTATAGCAACATACTGTCATCCAGCTGTCACCTGCTTCATGCTGACATTGGATCATCTTTAACCTTAATTAATTACGCCTCTCTGACGTCGCTACTCCAGCGGCCACCAATAGTGCCTGCCTTGCTACTGCCGTACTGGCAGCTGTGACTGCAGAGTGTAATGGGCACTGACTAACTTCGTTGAACAGTGGTGTGTGCTGTGCCAGTGTATTTGACATGTAGACGGTGTCTTGCTTAGAGGTGTCTAGCTGCACCTGCATCGCAAAAAATAATGATAGACACCTCCTGAAATACACTAGGCGTGCAGTGATCAACGACTGGCATCATGGCATTGCTAATGCTCTGCAGATATTGCCTCTCCTATCCCTTCCTTGACACATTTTCACACATCTTATCGCTGCACCGGGGCTGTTACATATACTGTGTTAGCTTCTGTACTGTAAACACTAGAAACCTCAAACGTGCTATTACTAGTATTAGAGAATATGTTAGTGCATATGTTGGTATGGTGACACAGCATGGTATCCTCATTGGAATAGTACCATGCTTTTCATGGACAGAGGATACTCACTAGTGGTTCCACGCAAATATGCAATGTAAGGATACGGACAGAAGAACGAGCAGTTGCTGTTTCGTAACTCTGAGTTTCACGAATTGAACTGAATCGACCATCAGACGAATGTAAGAATAGTGGATACAAGCATACAGAAGGGAAACAAAGCGTACTGCAAAATAGTCTTTCAGGTCTGTAATAAGTCTAATAGAACTAGGTACTAGCATACTAGTATGTTCAGTTGTTCACGTCAATATTGATAATAGCCATTCACCCCAGATCACAATAGATACAGAATCGGGTCAGGCTAAACTTAGTCCTTGATGAATAGAAGCGCCACGATGACGTGTGCACTCGGACTGCACTGCAGCATCATCGTCACCATGGCATGGTTGATTCGTAGTACACCAGGGCGCGCCCCAGTTACAAACACCGGGATATGCGCGCAACATGCGTGCGTGCATGTATGTGTGTGTGTGCATGAGTATGTATGTCTCTGTGTACATGCTTGGTTTTACTCCATAGCACAGAACAAAGGTGCGATTCGATTAGAATACTTCTAACATGGGTCTGGGTGAAGGCAAGAAGGTCACATGATGAACAAGACCACTTCATACACTATCCGGCTGTCAGTGTATGAGATGCACTGGTGAGCTGCTCCTACACTGCCCCTCACGGCCTCAGTGATTTTCTGTCTTCGCATGGCACTGCTCCTCCACTGGGCATTGGTGCATGGCACGCGGTTTCATTGTCATCAGACGTGTCCAAGCGTAAGGGTATTATGATCCCCTAATTGGTTTCAGACCCACAGCATCATTCTGCATTCCATAATTCTGAAAGGCACTCCGCAGCTGTTCATTTCTATTTGTGGAGAGCCTCCTATGTCTGGTCATGTCGCCATGAACTTAAGTGTGATCGCCTAGAATGCCATTACATAATATTATAATGCAACTGGATACCCAATGGCGTGTTGATAACACGTTGTTCGTTCCCAGCAGCATTACGTGGACGTACACCACGGCAGTGATAGTTTCTGTTGATGTAAATGGTTGGTGGTTTGGTCATAGATGTACATGTATGGATAGTAATTGTTGCGGTGTTCTGTCACGCTCCATGCAGTTAACTTGCCTTCGGAAACTGCTGATCGCTTTTGCGGTCATATCCCCCCCCCCCCCTCTCTCTCTCTCTATCTTCTCCCCCGCCCCATCGAATTAAAATTTATTTTCCCCATGTGGAAGCCGCCTTGATAGGCTCTAGCTCTGGCCTGTGGTGTATCCCCTATACTAGAAATAAAAATACAGAATATACAAAGTACTCTCTCTCTCTCCGGACGCCATCTTCTTCCAACGATAACCTCACCCAATGTTCGTGATCACGATCTATTCAGAACAAACTGTTCGGTACTCCCCTGTGAGTGCAGTAGTCATTTCCGGCATCGTAAGATTTCTCACCACGCTCAGGGTCCCATCATCATACCTGTCGACATGGCTCCTGTCTGATTCTCTACAGCTTTGAAGGCCACAAACAAGTTTACAGCACACAGTTTTGAAGGCTTCACTGAATGCCACAGAAAACCTCTAAGAACAGGGTGTCGTCGATGATGTTTGGTAGGTTGCCGCA